TGAAGTCGGCCGGGCCCCAGTCGCAGCTACTGGCCAGTGTGATCGCCGAGACCAGCCGCAGCCCTGTATGGCACTCGTGTCACCCCATGTCATCTATGTCCCCAGCCCTGCATCCCCAGCCCTGTCCAGAGCCCATGTCACCCCCATGTCCCCAGCCCCCGTTCACAGCCCATGTCACCCTGTGTCACCCCCATGTCCCCAGTCACAGCTGCTGACTGTCTTTGCTGGGACCAGACACAGTCCTGTCCCCCGTGTCACTCCATGTCCCCACTATATCCCCAGGCCAATATCACCCATGTCACCTCTTGTCCCAAGCTCCACATCACCCCACATACCCAGCCCCAAGTCCCCCTTCCCAGAGCACCCGCCCTTCCCTGGTTCCCCAGCATTCCGCAGGTCCTCTGAGGGCAGAGGGGACCCTGCTCAGAGCAGGGGACACTGCTCCAATGGGGTTGACACTGCTTGGGGTGGGTATGTTGACACAGTTCCAGAGGGTGTGACACCACTCTGGAGGGGTGACATCTCTCCGGGGAGGTTGACACTGCTCCAGGGGAGTGACTCTGGAAGTCTGTTTCAGTCCACCGAGAGCCACCTGGGGGATGCAGAGGCCAAGGAGGGCCAAGAAGAGGCTCCCCCCGAGCCAGAGCCCCCCAACCCCTTCAGCCAGCTCACGGACCAGGAGCTGGAGGAGTACAAGCAGGAGGTGGAGAGGAAGAAGCGCCTAGAAGGTAGGAGAGACACCCCAAAGCCCCCAGACATCCCCAAACATGCTGGAACTGAGGGGACCCGGGGCCAGCGTCTCTCTCTGTGACAGGTGAGAAGGATGCGGCAGCAGAGGAGAGTGGGGCTCCCCCACCAGAGCCACCCCCACCAGAGCCCCTGGCGCCTGCAGAGCCCACGGAGGGTGAGTGGGGTGACAAGCACCCCAAAACGAGGGGTGGGGTCCCAGTGAGCAGCAGGAGCGGGGGGACAAGAGCGGCTGTGGCCAAACCGCACTGAGACACAGCTCGCTGTCACCTCGTGTCCCCCTGCCTGTCCCGGGGGGCCCCGCTCCAGAGGGGCCAAGCAACGATGGGGATTCACGGCAGGAGGATGTGGGTGTCTGCCAGGGGCTTTGTGGGTGCAGGGGACACCCCTGTCCCCCATCCCAACCCTCACACTCCGGCGGGTGTGATGTTCCCATTGTTCTGATCCACAGCGGGTGCTGGGGTGTGGCTCGGGGCTGCTGGCTCTGCCATGGTGTCTCGTGGTGTCTGTCTGTCTGTCTGTCTGTCTCCACAACGTCTCCTTTCTCTTTCCTCCCCGTGTGCCTGTCACCCAAGGAGTTATCCCTGAATCCCTGGCGCCGTAGTAAGTACGGAGAGGCCACCCCAGACGAGGGACACGGGCTTGGGGGGATCTTCAGTCTCCATGGCCCACTCCAGCCCCACTCGGGGGAAATCCCTTAGGAAATCCCATGGGGAATCCCTCCTTGTTGCTTCCTGCTTTTCCTGCTGCCTCCTCCCGGCTCTCCATCCCACATTGCTTGTCCCGCAGGGAGGGGGTGGCTCAGGGAACTGGTGCCTGTGGCAGGACAGGATCAAACCCCAACGTTCTCCACTCATGGAGGCCAAATCCTGCTCCTGCCCAGGCCCCACTGGACATTTTGGGGGATAAACCCCCCCCCCCCCCCGCAACACCAGTGCTGCTGCCCCAATTCCCTGTTCCCTCTCCTCTTCTCAAGGTGACAAGAAGGACAATGGCGGCCAAGCCCCCCCTGATTCCACTGCCAAGAAAGAGCCACCAGCGGTGGTGAATGGGAAGGATGAAGAGCAAAGCACTGAGGAAAACCTTGGAAAAGGGGGGACAGACCGGACAACTACCAACATTGACCAGGATGCACCTAAGGAGAAGGAGACAGTGACCAGCAACCCCGTGTCCCCCGACGGTTCACCCTCCAAATCACCCTCCAAAAAGAAGAAGAAATTCCGGACCCCATCTTTCCTGAAAAAAGGCAAAAAGAAGGAAAAGATTGAATCCTGAGTGTCGCAAGGCCTGGCACGTGGCCATCCCGGGGATCCCCAGGATCTCTGAGACCGGGACCACCTGGGCAGGGGCAGCTCCTGCCTCGTGCGTCTGGCCGAGGCGTGGCCCAAAACCCCTGTAACCAGCTGTTTTCTGGGTCCTCCCGGCACAAGGCACCTCATCTCCCTTGTTACCCGCCTCTGGAGGTGGTCACCGAGCTTAGAGAGACTGTGGTCCCCGCTTGGGGAAATTTCCGCTGCATCTCCCTCCTGCCTTTCGTTCCTGGGCTCCGGCCCCTTCCCACCATGGGCCGAGGGTTGAATTTTCTCCACCAGAGCCCAGATCTGCTTGATTTGAGTAAGAAAAGGGTGTTTTGTGGTTATTTTCTTCACCTTCTGTTTCAAGCTCTGCTGGAATGGCGCTGGCTTCATCTCCAGGGAAAATTGTTCATCGCTTCGCCAGGAGAACGGGATTGAGCTGAAGCTGGGGGATTGCTATTCCTGAAGGAGAAGCTGAGGTTTTTCCTTCCCGGATTGCAATCTTCCTCTCCTTGGGCAAAAGAACCACTTCATCCTCTTCTCCTGGTACTCTCACCCTGTGTTTTCCCCACCCAAGGAAGAGCAGCAGGATTTCCCACCACTGGAAAGGTCCCCACCTCACTGCACGACCCACACCTGGGAAAATAGGGAAAAACAACCTCTGGGAATTGTCTGTGTTACTTAAAACTGAGCAAAACTCACTCACTAAGTGCTACTTCGAGATGAACACACGCTGCCAATTCCCGCCAGCCTCCGCTCCCAGTGACGCCATCCACATCGGATCCCTGCTTTTCCCAGCTCTGGATTCCCAGCACAAGTTCAATCCTTCCTGGCGTTCCCTTCCCTCCCAGCGTTACACCCTCCTGGCCAACCCCTTCCCAGGAAGAGGCCCAGCCATGCCCATGTTCCCCACAGCCATTCCAACACTGGGATTTGGGGATAAATCAACAAGATCGGCCTCCCCTCCCCACAATTTCCTGGGGTCACCCTGAGCCTTCCTGTATCCATGGAGGCCTGTCCAGGAGATCTGGAATGCCTCAGAACCCCCTGTTTGGGATTCCCTCACCCCAGCAGGATTTTCCTACGTGCCATCACTGTGGTTTCAAACCTTTTCACAGCTGTGAGAGAGCTCATGGGGGTTGGATCCCCTCTGGAAGAGCAGGCAGCCCATGGAATGCGGGGTGCAGGCAGGGATTGCAGTGCAGGAAACAGTAGAGAGACCCCAGACAGGGATCTTGCCAGAGCCCCATGGCAAACCTGAGCCTGGATTTTGGGAAGAGCCTTTGCCCAGTGTCCCCCCACAGGTCTCCATCCCACTCCCGCAGGATGGAGGGCACCAAAGAGACACTCTGAGCCCATAACCCCCTCTGCTCCCCCAGCCTTGTCACTGGGGAGGCTGTTCCTCACTGCCACTGATTTTAAGGCTCTTTGAGGCCATTTTTGTCCCTGGGCTTGTTCCCCCTGGGTGAGCCAGGGCAGCAGAGCCTGCAGAGACAGATGTGTCATCTTCCTGGGGTAGCACTGTCAAGACCTGGGGGCAATTCCTGAATGACAGCACTGCCAAGCCCCCAGCCCAACATGGGGGACCCCCGGGGGTTTTGTCCCTCTGTTGTCCCTGAAGGTCTGTCCCCAGGGCCTTTGTAACCCCTTTTTTCCCCAAGGGTTTGTCCATGGGGGCTCTGTTACCGTTTTTTCCTTGGGGTCTGTCGCCAGGGCCTTTGTCACCTCTTTTTCCAAGGGCCACTGGCTTTGTAGGGGACCCTGAGATTGACTTCCCCTCCATGAAATTGTGGGGAGTTTCAGGTAGAAAGGGACAAAGGCTCCAGTGCCACCATCATCACCATGATGAGGGTCCTGGCTGCATAGCTGGAAGGAAACAGCCAAGATCACATCAAGGACCACCCTTGGGGTAATTCCCCCATCCCACCTCCCTGCCTCTGCCTCCCTTCACTCCAGCAAGGCTCAAGGTAGGGGTCTCTCCAGGGGAAAGCAGGGAGGGGGCAAATCCCTGATCCGGAGCCTCCATCCACAGCTCCGCTGCAAAACAAAGGCTGATTCCATGCAGGCAGCGGGGAAGGACGAGTCCAGCTGGACTCATCACCCCTCCACCCACCTGGGGCTGCCCAGAGAGGCCCCAGTGACGGAGCAGGTGTTGAGCCCCCGGAACGCCACCAGGAGGAGGCTGGGGTGTGGCACATCCCTGTGTCTGACAATCGCGGCCAGGAGCTCGTGGAACGCCGGTGTAAATAAAAACCCCGTGTTTGGCACCCGGCAGTGCTCGGAGACTGAGGGGCAAAGGGTGTGGATGGAATAGGATGGGAATGGGGATGGGATGGGATGGGAATGAGAATGGGGCTGGGAAGGGGATGGAATGGGATTGGAATGAAGCTGGAGCTGGGGAGGGGATGGGATGAGAATGGGGATAGGGCTGGAGCTGGGGCTTGGAGTGGCGTGGCGTAGCATGGCGCTGGTGGTGAGAATGGGCCAGGGATGGGGCTCAGGGGGAGGATGGCATGGTGTCATGGTGCAGGAATGGGACTCCCCGATTCAGTGCCCTCACTGAAGACAGCCCGGAGCCGCTGGCCCGTGTGCCGGACACGACGAAGGTTTTAGCAGCTTCGCAGAGAAGTCCTTCCCGAACCCCCACTACGGAACCCAGGCACAGCCGCAGGACGCTCGGACTCCAGGCTGGGCCGGGCGAGCCCCGGCTGAAAACGCGCCGGGCCCCCACCGACCCGCACCTGCCTGCGTGAACCCGGGGGTCAGAACCGAGAATGCGGCTCCAAGGACCGGGGAAGGGACGGGACCGGGGCAGTGACGGGCCGGGCAGGCCGGAACGCGGCACGCCCGCAGAGAGCGGGCAGCGGCCTGCAGAGGGTCATGACTCCGCCTCCCTCCCCTCCTCTTCCTCCCTTTCCCTCCCTCTCCTCCTCTTCCTGCCGCCCTCCTCTCGCACCTCCGGGCTGGGCGGGCTCCCAGGACGAGCGGTGGGACCGGGCCGGTGCGTCCCGATGCAGTGCTGACCAGTCCCCGCAGGCCCGGTCCCCTCAGGCCCGGTCCCCGCTCCGGGCGGCGGCGCCGTGGGAGCAGCAGCGCGGGGCTGAGGGACGGCCATGGGCCGCAGCCGCTCCCGGTCACCGCCGCGGCGGGGTGAGGGGGCACTGGGACACCGGCGGGACCCAGGGAGGGATGGGAACGCCGGGGGAGGTCAGAGGGCACTCGGGGGACGGGACCCGGGGAGATCCAAGTGGAAGGGCCCAGGGGTAGGGGGGAATTGGGACCCTCCCGGGCGGGGAGACGGCGGGGAGGCCCCGGTTCCTCGCTCTGGGGGAGAGCAGAGATATCCTCCTCTTCTTCCTCCTCATCCTTTTTCTTTTCCTTCTTCTTCTCCTCTGCTTCCTTCTCCTCCGCTTCCTTCTTCTTTTCTTTTTCTTCCTCTTCGTCCTCCCCTTTTTCTCTTTCTCCCTCTCCTCATCCTTATATTCTCCTCTCCTTCTCCTCCTCCGCTCCTCCTCCCGCCCCTCTCTACCTTCCTCAGGTTTTGGGGACCATCACCCCTCCTGGCTGATTCCCCCTGGGTGATTCCCCCCCTGGATGATTCCCCCTGTTCCAGGTGGAGGTTGTTTCCTGCTGCTCTTTCACTTCTGGGGGTCCCCAGAGGGGTCCCTGAGCCCAGAACTGTCCTGGAGGTGTGGGAGGGATTGTCCCGGGGTCTCCGTTCGGGAGCTGGGATTTTCTGTGGATTTCCTTTGGGAAGCGGGCAGTGAAGCAGCAGCTGACCCTTCCCCGGGCAGAGCGCCGGCGCTCGCGCTCCACGTCCCGGGACAGGGACAGGCGGCGGCGGGAGCGATCGCGGTCCCGGGACAGGGACAGGAGGAGGAGCCGGTCCCGCTCCCCACACCGGAGACGATCCAGGTGAGGACAGGGACCATGGAGGTGAGGGTGGGGACTTCCCAGGTGAAGGAAGAGACATCTACATGAAGGCAGGGACGATCCAGACGAGGGCAGGGACATTCAGGTGAGAGTAGGGATGATCCAGGTGAGGGGAGAGACTTCCAGGTGAGGGCAGGGACACCAGCGTGGGGTGGGGACAGCTAGGTTAGGGCACCCTGGGTGACAGCGGGAGCTCCAGGTGGGAATTGCAGCCCAACCTTGTGTGCCCCAGCAGGTCCCCACGCCGGCACCGCTCCAGCTCCTCATCACCAGCACGGCCCAAGGAGCGCCGGGATGAGGAGAAGAAGGAGCTCAAGGACTCCAAGAAAGAGCGACAGATCACAGGTGAGGGGGGATTTTCCTCTTGGAACACTCCGAGATGCCCTGTGGGGCTGGACCATCCCAGGGACGCCCCAGGGATTTTTGGGAATCGCATCATCCGTGTTTGCTCAATCCCTGATTTTCTTCCCTCAGAGGAGGATTTGCAGGGCAAGACAGAGGAGGAGATCGAGATGATGAAGATGATGGGTTTTGCCTCTTTTGATACCACCAAGGTGAGCACAAGCCTGAGGTCACTCCAGGGGCTCTGCAGTGTCACCTGCCCTGTTTGAGGATAATCCATGAGATTTTGGGACATCTCTCCTCAGGGGAAGAAGGTGGACGGCGCTGCCAACGCCTATGCCATTAACGTGTCCCAGAAGAGGAAGTACAGGTGTGTCTCCTCTCCTTTGAGATAGAAAGAGGATTTTGTTTTGTGAGGTAACTGTGGCCACTGTCTCACGGTGATCCAGCTTCCAGGCCTGAGAAAAGCTGAAATTTTGTGAGGTTTAGACTCAAAAGCAGAGGTGAGAGTTCTCCAGATCCTCCTGGGAATGGGGAAATCAGGAGGATGAGGAGTGAGGAACATGTTAGGAACAGGTGGGATATGCCCAGTGAGGCCTGGACAGGATCGGAGCAGCAGGAAGCGACACTGTTCACCTGGTTTGTTCCTGAAAAATACCCAGTTTGTCAATTCTGCTCCCTTTCTGATGGGAACCTGAGATCCTCACACAACCCAGCCTCTGGAGCAGCTCCTCGCTAGGAGCCTTCCTGCCTTTTTTTTTTGTCAAATTCATGGGGAATTGGGTTCCCTGTGGCCACTGAGCCCTGTTCCCAGCCTCCCCCGGATATTTTTGTCCCCTTTTCTATGGATCCGGGACTGACTCTGGCTCCCTCCTTGCCCAGGCAATACATGAACAGAAAAGGAGGATTCAACAGGCCCCTGGATTTCATCGCCTGATGCTGAGAGACGACTCCCACCACTGAAGGATTTCGCTTCCCTGCACTCTTCTGGGTGGCTCCAGTGCTGGATTCCAGTGGAATTTGGGTTATTCCCAACAAATCCCACAGCCAGAGCCGCCATGAGTTTCCATTTCTCAGATTTTTGTCATTATTTTTGTCACAACAAAGGTCAGTTTCTGGCTGGGATTTTGCTGTGTTTTCCCTGGTCTTGGTTTGTTTCCCTGTTAATAAAACCCCAGATGATTTTTTTTTCTTCTATTTTTTGTCATTCAGAGATAAAGCAGGGCCTCTATTCCCCCTCCCACAAATCTTTGGAATTTATACAAATCATCTCAATCCGGTGGGACCCCATTTGAGCCCTGTGCTGAAACCAAAGGTGCTCGACAGTGAGGGTCTTTCTTTCTCCCTCAACCCCACCTGATTATCACTTTAGGGTTGGGAGGCCCCCCCATCACCTGCCCCCGTGGGAGCAATGGGATCTGGGGTGCTCCCAGTTCTCAGAGGGGCTTTGGGTGCTCTGAGCCTTGCCTCTCTCTGGAGGCGGTTCCTAATTTGGGAGGCCCAAGGTGCTCGCTGCAGTGGGACAGAGGGGGACCTTCCCGGGGGTGTCACTGCCCTGGCGTGGGGGTCCCCTCACAAGGAGGGCAGCTGCTTGGTGGGGGGGGGTGGGGATCCTGTCTCTGTGGGGGTGTCTGTCCCTGTCCGGGGGGGTTCCCATTCTGGGGCCTCTGTCCCTATCCCGGGGGTCCCTGTCCCTGTCTTGGGGGGTCCTCGCTGGGCTCACGTTGCCCTACGTAGCCAAGGCCCCGCCCCCTTCCCCGTCTGGCCTCGCTATTGGCTAAGCGGCAGGAAGTGAGTCAGGGCAGCGCGTGCGGCCAGCGGGGCGGGGCCTGGTGTGTGGGCGGGGCGCCGCAGGGGGCGGGCCAATGGCAGGAGGGCGTGACGCTCTTGTCCAATGGCAGTGAGTGGGGGCGTGTCCTCGGGCCCAGACACGCTCCCTCCCCGCCGCTCGTGGAGGCGCTGGGCGGGGCCTGTCCTTGTCCTCCAATCAGCGACGGGGCTGGGCGGGACCTCGCGCAGCCTTCACCAATGAGTGGCGGGGGGCGTGGCGCGCGTGGGGTCTGGCGGAGCGGCGCTCGGGGCGGGCAGAGGCCGCCGCTCCCCCCCTGCCGCCGGTCGCGGCACGTCCCGGCCCTGCCATGGCCGCCCCCCCCCGCCTCGGCATCCAGATGCTGCTGGAGGCCGCCGAGTTCCTGGAGCGGCGGGAGCGAGGTACCCCCCGCGCCCCCCTCGGTGCTCCCGGTGCGCCCGGCCGGGCCCCGCGGTGACCCGCGCCCGCCGTTGTATCTCCGCAGAAGCCGAGCACGGTTACGCCTCGCTGTGGCCCGGCGGGAAGGACGGGGAGGCCCCGCGGCGCCGCGCCAAGGCCCGGAGGAGCGGCGGCGGCGGCGGCAGGTGACGGCAGCACCGGGCGGGGCGGGGGGGACCGGACCGGACCGGACCGGACCGAAGGGGCCCGGCCGTTGTGGGGCTGCGGGTCCAGCCCAGCCCGGCCCAGCCTGGCTGGGGGAGCTCCCGGCACCGTGTGGCCGGGCCCGGTGAGCCCCCTCTGTCACCGGGCGTGGGTGACAGGCCCGAGGGGGGCTCCCGTGTCCGTGTGTGCGGGCCTCCTGAGGCCGCTGTTCCGGGCCTCTGGCCGAGCTGGGGTCACCACCCTGGTCCCCGGGCTCTGATGGGGCCCCGCTGTCACCGGGTGTTTGACAGGGCCGGGGGGACGCTCCTGGCATGGCGCTGCTGAGTCTCTGCTGAGATCCCTCTGTCTCCAGGTGTGTGACAGGCCCGCAGGCTCCAGCCCCCAGGTGTCTCGACTCGGAGAGGCCGTGCTGTCACAGGGCCTGTGGCCGGGCCGGGGTCACCACCCCGGTCCCCGGCTCTGATGGGGACCCCCGCCGTCCTTGGGGGTGTCACAAGGCCGGGGGCACCCTCCTCACCCTCCTGTCTCCAGGTGTTTGGGGGACAGGGAGGTCTTCCTGTCACTGGGTGTGTGACAGCACTGGGGGACCCTCCTGTCATCAGGTGACCCGGCTCAGTGAGGTCCTGTTGTCACTGGGTGTGTGACAGGATTGGGTGGGGCTCTTCTGTCACCAAAGTCCTCCTGTCACTGGGTGTGACACCGTGGGTGGGACCTTTCTGTCCCGGGGTGACTGGCCCAGAGTCACAGTGCCCTGGCAGGGCTGAAGTGGGCCCTCGTGTAACCTTCTGAGTTATCCACCCTGAAACCCACCCAGAGCCCCCCGTTATCCCTCCTTGGTTGTTCCTCCCTCTTACTCCTCGCTGATTTTAAATCCTAAACTACCTTTTCTCTAAGCTGAAGTCGGCTCCAAGCACACTGAATTCCAGGAGCATATCCCACATCCTGGAGACTTTAGTCCAGCACTCATAATAACCTTAAAATCACTCGATTCCTTGTTCGTGAGAGGAGCCCTCAGCTGATTTTGGGAAGGGCTGGCTCCAGGATGTGCCCCTAGCCGAGGGGACACTGTGAGGGGCAGCAGGTCCATCCCGACACGTCACTGGTGGTGCCAGGGAGGAGCCAGGCCCTGATGGCACCACATCTGTCACTCTTTTCCTGGTTGGGAGCGATCCCGTCTGCGCGACGCCACGGCGGCCGACCTTTGGCAGCTGCCGGAACAAATCCACCTGGATTTGCCCGTGCCGTGATTCCCTGGGTCCCCCGGGGCCGGGGCGGCTCCCACACAGGCAGTTCGGGGTGTCAGGAGCCCCTCGGGGGGCAGCTGGGCTCAAATCAAGCAGGCTCCAGGTGAATCCGGGTATTTGTCATGCCTGGACACGCTCCGGGTTTCCTTCTCAGAATATTTTGTTTGCTTTGGGCCAGTCTGTTACGGTTTTCAGGAATAAAAAACACATTCCGAAGGGAAAGCTGGTGATCAGCTGAGGTTCAAACTGGTGGGAATCCAAATCCGTGACTCTGTGGGCATGAGATTGCTCCGGAGAGGATGTGGAAGCCACAGATGTGGGAGCTCCACCTGTCCCGGGGTGAAGCTGCCATCCCCTCTGTCCCTGCTTATTTTATCCAAAATTAAACTCCATCAATTAATTAATTTTTTCTACATGTTGGTGATGGTGAATGCAAGTCCAAAAAAGAAAACAACTATTCCAGGAAGGATCCAAGCAGAAAAGAGGATGGATTTGTAATTAATGATTGTGGGGATGGCAGCTTCACCCCTCTCTGTACCGGTGCTCAGGAAGTGTTTGGATAATTTAGAATCAAGGAAAAAGCTCCTAACGCTGCAGCCCATGGCAACCCTTTGGTAAAGGGCTGGGTGTGAAACATGCAGATTTATCCAGGGAAAAATGCAATGGGGAGACAGCACAGGAGCCAAAGATCTGAGTCCTTCCATTGTGTCAGGATAATCCCACTGGAATGGGAAGTGTCTCTGCTGGGATAGAACATTTCTGGGGATGTGGGAGACATGGCCCTGACCTTGCCAGAAGGTCAGCAGAGCCACTGGAGCAGGGTGATCCATCAGGATATGCTGCTGGAAAAGCGAAGGAGACCTAGGAGAGCATCTTCCACTGCTGTGGTGGTGGCATCCCTCATTTCCCTTTGGTGACATCCCTGGTTTTCCCTTCAGTGACATCCCTAGCTTTTCCAGCACTCCCAGATCCCATGGGGTCATCCCAGTAGATATCCTCATCCAAACAGCCTCTGGGTTATTCCCACATTTATGTTTTCAGGAACGTAACAACATTTTTCCCAAATTAGAGTGGGGTTTCTTGAGGCCTCTGGGAGTTTTAGGAAGTCAGTAGGCAGGGTAGCAGCTCTTCCCTAAGCACCATTCCTGGGAACATGAGCTCTGTGGCCTTCTGTGGCTTCTTCCTGGATTTCAGTGGAGGGAAAGTCACTTGTAGCTTGTGTTTTTCACCTTTTCCCAGCTCTGTGGAAATTGGGAATTTCAGGGGGATTTGTTGTGGATTTAATGTGTTTGTGGTGGTTGGGGTCGAGCTGCTCTGTACTGTTGGACACAGGGAAGGCTTTTTCTATGTTATGTTCCTGGCAGGTTGAGGAACAGGGATGAGCTGTTGATCCCAATCCCAGCTCTAAAACATGAGTCTCTGGTTTAAAATCCCATTTTATGGTTTTCCTTCCCCTTTTATTGACACTTACCCAGAAATTTCTGCATCCCACCATTCACTGTCCCTGGGTATGGAGCTCTGGAAGCCCCCTGGGTTTGCATCTTTTCCAGGGAGCCCTTATTAATTCCCACATGTTAATCCCAACTGTTAATCCCTTATCAGACAGAGGAATTAATAACTTTTTCCTTCTTTTCCAGGTCGACACACAATGAAATGGAAAAGAACAGGTGAGTGCAGAGGTTGACAGGAGCTGGACTGCAGGAAATTATTATTTTTCCAGGGGTATTCCACTGAGATGGGTTGAGAGGGGGAGTGGGAGGGAAGGAATGGGATAAAGGACATCAAGGATTAAAGCATTCCTTGTCCTTGGTTGTTGAGAATTATATCCATCTCCACAGCCAGTTCCTGTTCCACTTACTCAGGAAAATTGTCTTGTCACAGGCTTATCTTTGAGCCAGTTGAAGTTTGGGATTTATCCCAAGTAAATCCCACTTTTTTTTTGGCTGTGTTGTCATCCCGAGGTCCTTTGGGTGAGGAAATCCCTGCTCACTCCCAGCATATCCCAAACAAGACCAGCAGGTCATTGCAAAATCCATTTGGAGCTGCCCGGGATCAGGCGGTTACAATCCATTCCCAAGAATCTGACCTACATGTTGTGATTGGAGTAATGGACACAGGGAAACTGGGATGTGCTGGGAGCATCCCTGCTTTCAGCAGAAAAAGGGATTTGCTCAAGGAGTTGGAGTTTCCCTCCAGCATTAACATTCTACATGTTACAGTGGAGAAAGCCCAGATATTACAGGAAGAGGGAGGATTCCTGGAGCACAATCAGTGCTCCTGCAGGGATCTGGGTTTTTTGTATCCAAAACGACCCTGTTCCTACTAAAAATAGGGAAAGAAAGCACTCCCAGAGGATCTGCAGCTGGGTGTTAGCCTGGGCAGCTTCAGCTGTCAGCAGGAACCAAACAGCACTCCTGAGATGGAACCTTTTTGGGAAGAGAATGACCAAAAGTGGATATTCCCACCCAGAATTCTGAGGTCATTGGCTTCTTGTTGCCTGGGATCATCCCAACAGCCCAAGATGCCAGCAGGATTTATCCATGAGGTTTTTCCAAGGCATCCTTTTGCCTGGCTGCAGCTTTTGGAAGCCCGTGGTGGCTGGGAAGGCTCCTGGTCGGGTTTAGCTCCCACCACCCCATTTTTCCACACCAGGGGAGTGGGAATGTCATTCGGGAAGCTGATCCAGCTGTGTGCTCCCATTCCAGGCGCGCCCAGCTCCGGCTGTGCCTGGAGAGGCTGAAAGGGCTGGTGCCACTGGGGGCAGCAGCCGGGCGGCACACGACGCTCAGCCTCCTCACCAGGGCCAGGCTCCACATCCAGGTGAGCCCAAAAACGGGATCTGGCACTGGGATCGGAGCTGGGAGCAGCATCCCAATACGGGGCATGGGCTGGGAGAGTGCTGAGTGGGGCTAGGATAACTGGGAGAGTACTGGCATCATGATGGGATAATGGGGGGAGCACTGGAATGGGGCTGGGATAACTGGAAGAGCACTGACATCAGGCAGAGATAACTGGGAGAGAGCTGGTTTTGGGCTAGGATGACTGGGAGAGCTGGAATCCATATGGAAGACAAGAGCCCCTCGGCAGCCCGAGGTGGCTGTGCCAGGGTGGTTTGGGCCAGGAATGCTAAGTGGTTCCGAGGGAATCCCGGGGCTCAGGGTGCCGGGAATGCCGAATGGTTCCGAGGGAATCCCGGGACTCAGGGTGCCGGGAATGCCGAATGGTTCCGAGGGAATCCCGGGGCTCAGGGTGCCGGGAATGCCGAGTTGTTCCGAGGGAATCCCAGAGCTCAGGGTGCCATGTCCCCCCCGCAGAAGCTGGAGGACCAGGAGCGCCGGGCCCTGCACCAGATCGAGCAGCTGCAGCGGGAGCAGCGGCACCTCCAGCGGCAACTGGAAAAGCTGGGAATGGAGAGGGTCAGGATAGACAGCATCGGCTCTAGCCTTTCCTCTGAGCGCTCCGACTCAGATCAAGGTGAGAGCCCGTGCTGGGGGATGGACGGTGAGAGGCCTGGCTGTGCTGGAACTCCAACTATTCCCATTCCTCCGGCAGAAGAGATGGATGTGGATGTGGAGAGCACGGACGACCTCCCAGCCGACCTGGACTGGAGCAGCAGCAGCCCCAGCGACTCGGACGAGCGCGGGAGCCTCCAGAGCCTGGGCAGCGATGAGGGATATTCCAGCTCCAGCGGGACCAGGGCGAAGCTGGTGAGCAGCCGGAAGCTTCCTGTTGGGATTTAGGAAGCGCTTCCCACTGCCATGGTGCCGCCACCGTCCCCTTGGGCTCCCGTTAGCCAGCACACCGACCCTGCCAGCATTCCCTGCACGGAAACACCCGAACGTCCCGCTGCTCCAGCTGCTCCTGGGGCTCTGTTTGCATCACCAGCCTCTCGCCCCGGCCGAACCTCCTCTGCCAGGCCCTACATTCCAGCCACGCCTGAAGCGCCCGGGAATATCCTGGCAATAACAGCGACCTCAAGAGCCTTCCCTGGGTTCTTTCCCAGGCTGTCACTGCCTGGTATTCCCGATCTTCTCTACTTTTGGGTGGCGACATCACGTTCCTGATCCTCAGAACCCAAAAAGCTGAGTTTTTGGGAGGAGATCCGAAGAGAGAACCAGTCCTTTGTGGAGTTTCCATCCATGACAGAGTGAGCCAGGCTGGGAACATGGAGCATTTCGGGCACAGGGATCAGCCTCAGTCGGGGGTTCCTTCCCCCGACTCTAAATATTCAGGGACACCCCATCCCAGCCCTCCCAGAGCATTCCTGGCATGGGGAACAGCGCTCCGGGGGCTCAGAGCCATCCTCGCTCCTTGGATTGGCTGCCTCCGGGCTCCCTAAACCCAAATGGGACGTCCCACCTGCCGTGGCATGGCATTCCAGACTCCTGGAATTCCCTTTCCACGCTTCTAGTCTCGGGGACATTTTTTTCTACCTCGGAGGGAGCCCACAGACTCTCTCCACCCCTTCAGCACAAAGATGATGCCTCTGCTCAGCAATAACCCCACGGGACTCCTTGGATCGTATCCATCCATCCGGGATTTTTCCAGGCTCGTGGAGGATTCCAGAAGCCACCACAGGGAGGGCAGCCCCGGGGGGCAGGGGAGTTCCAAGCCAGAGCACACGTGAGCTGTCTGTAGTGAGGATTCGTTTCCCAGTGCACTGGAGGGAAAATTCCCATCACTTCCTGCTTTTAGAGATGCTCTGGGAATGTTGACATGTAGAGAGCTCTGCTTCCAACACCTTTCCTTTCCCCTCGAGCTGGTCCCAGGGCTTTTCCAGCCCCATGGAGCTGGCCAGGCCCTGGTGAATAGTTGGTAAAGAGCTCTTCAGGGCTGCTCCCGCCGCTGGGATACAAACCTTGACCCTCTGCTGGTCCCTTTCAGGAAACGCAGGTGCTGAGAGGCATCGAGATGCTCCACGGAGTGCAAGGGGATGAGCAGCAGGAGACTCCAGTGCTTTTTCCTTTCCTTTGTCCTTTCCCCTTTTCCTTCCTTTTTTCTCTTTTTTCTCCCTTTTTTCTCTTTTCATTTCCTCCCTTTCCTCTTTTCCTTTTCTTGTTTCCCTTTTCTCCTTTTCCTCTTCTCCTCCTTTCCTGCTTTTCCCCTTTTCTGTTCCCCTTTCCCCCTTTCTCATTTTGTCCTTTTCCTTTCCTTTTCAACACCCCAATCCCATTCCTGGCTCACCTGGGGAAGTGGGAAGCCACCCACAAACCCCACAAGTTGCCCAAATCCCCCAGGTTCTGGCTCTTTTACCATGTGCTAGCTCCTAAGAGAAAAAAACAAACAACCCAAACCACAAGGAATTTTCCTTTAAAGCTGGAATTTTCCATCCTCTGGCATTGCTGTCAAGCCCCTGCACCGTCAAAAAGAGGGAAAAAAAGGCAAAAAGATGGAAAACGCCAAGAAAAAGAGGAATATCAGCCCTTGGGGGCTGGTGGCTCAGGTGGCTTTTGCCTTCACCTGGGGAATCTCAGCGGAACCCTCTGGGCAGGTGATTCCCAGCCTTGGGAAGGCCCTTCCAGAGGTACAAAGCATTGGTTTTTGGTTGGTTTTGGACATTCTGAAGGTTTGGCCTCAGCACAAATGAGGGGTTTTGGCAGGTTTGTGCCTTTTTGAATTCCCAATGCCTTTTTTCCCCTTTTTTTTCCTTCCTATGCCAGACTGACCCTTCCCAGCCCTTTGCACTGTTGGGCTGTGCTCCGGGAACCCCAAAACGCTGCACTAACCTGGAATCTCTGGGTCCCCAATGGTGGTGCCAGCCTTTTCCTGGAATTCACTGATCCACCAGCATTCCTCTGAAATAAGCTGCAGGAAGGACTTTTTTATAGGTTGTGACAAAAATCCAGGGAGTAGGGGGAGTTGGATTGGGGCACGGATGGGTGGGAATCAAGAGCACCCATTTTGGGGCTGTTTTTCCTTTCTTTTTCCTTATGGAAGGCAGATCCCAAACCGCCAGCTCCCAGGAAGCACCAGAATGTTTGTTTCATCTTTAATTTTTCCAGTGGAGCCATCCCATCTCCACTCAACCTTTCCTTTATTATTGTCTGGGACACCTCCTATTTGTGCTTTTCCATCATTTTTCCTGTTCTTTCTGCTTCCCAAGAAGTGGATCCACCCCAGCCTCGGCTCCATTGGGCAGTTGGGAGCGGACACGGATCCCATTTCCAACCGTTCCTGCTGTAAATATCCCATTGTTGGGCTGAACCCCGTGTCAAGCCAATAGAATGGTGCTTTTTTTTTTTTAGGAATTCCATGTTTTAGGAGATCTTTGCTGTGTCCATGGATATTTCTGTCTTGTTTGATTGTTAGGAAATAAATTATTTCGTTACGAGAGGCATGAGCTAGAATTGCTGCGGGAAGGGAGCCGGAAGGGGCTGGGGATGGGGAGGATGGAGATTCACAGTCCTGTGGAGAGTTGGGGGGGTTGAGAAGGTCCCCCCTGAGCCTCCTTTGCTCCAGGCTGAGCTCCCCGAGCTCCCTCAGCCACATCCTCTCTCTGAGCCCTCCCAGGTGCTTTATTCCAGTGCTGCTCCTGGTGCTGGGATTCCCTGGGCCGGGCTGGGGCTTTGTCCCTTGTCCTGTCCCTGGGCTGTGGTCCGGGGGTCCCCCCTGGACCAGCCCCTGCCCCGCGTGTCCCCAGAGCTGCCCGGGGGGCACAGGAGGTCTGGGAAGTGCGGGGTGGCACTGCGACCGGGGCACGGGGATTTGAGACACACGGTGGCACAGGGAGACAAGGACAGGGCAGCCCAGCGTGTGAGCGTGGCACGGGGGTGGTACACAGGGTGGCGGAGGGGCACAGGGCGCGGCTGTGCCACCCTGGGACCCATCCCAGTGCCTCACCTGAGGCAGGTGCCCCCCCGTCGGGCCCCGCCCTCCGGCCGCGCCCGCACTGAGAGCTCTCGAGTGGAAAGTGGGGTCAAGGTGGAGACCAGGGAGGGACATGCCGGGAAGAGGAGCGGGGGGGGAGGGGGACAGGGGGCCACACTCAGGGGGTGGCGAGGCACAAGGCTGGGGGGATGGGCAGGACGTGGGGGGATACGGGGACTTTGGGGACTCTGAGGGACATGGGGGTGTGGGACGTGAGCAGGAGGGCACGGAGGGGGACATACTGATATGGGAGAAGGGAGACACGGCGGACACGGGGGACACAGGAACGAGGGGTGGACTTGAGGGTTTGGCGACATGGGGACAGTGGAGATTTCGGAGGGACGGGGCAGGGTGGGGGAACACAGGGGGACATGAAGGAACAGGGGAACTTAGGGGGCTGGGGGGGAATAGAGGGTGACATGGAGGGACATGGGGGGAATATTGGGGTGTGGGACCATGGTGACGCAAAGGGGACACGGAAACATGAGGGTGTGGAGACACAGCAGAGAGGAGGGAGATGGTGATATGGTGGGGGGGACATGGTGGGGGCTGAGGGGATGTGGGGAGATTGGAGGCAGGAAGAAGTGTAGGGGGACATGGGGGTGTGGGGACATGGGGACCCCAAAGTGAACCCCAATGGGAACATGGGACCCCAACAGGGAACATAGGGACAGCAATGGGGACTCAGTGGGGACATGGAGACATTAAAAGGGATCCCTGCTGGGAACATGAGGCCCTTGAATGGGGACCCCAATCGGGACATGGCTGTGACATCAGGACACAGGGGCATTTGGACTAGCAGCAGAGTGGCAGGGCAGGGGTGGCAGGCCCCGAAGTGTCCTCGTGGCTGTGACACACCTGTCCCCATGCGCTGGCACAGTCCCAGCGGCCACATCCCACCTGCAGGGCTTTAAGAGGCCGCGGGCTCAGCCCTGCCAGCACCGCCATGGCCTGGACACTGTCCCTGTCCTCGGCCCTGTCCCCTGCCATGGCCCTGGCACTGCCGCTGCTTCTCGCCCTGCTCGGGGCCACCCCAGGTAGGGCCCCTGCCCCCCCCCCCCCCCCCCCCCCCCCCGGCACCTGGGGGCAGCCCCATAGCTGAGTATGCCTGCTGGGCTGGCATCTCTAGAGCTGGGTGCCCCTCTCAAGGACCCCGTGGTGAAGTGACAGGGGCACAGACACCTGGTTGCCCCTGGGCAAGGGGGGAAGGGGGCCCTTGGGTGGGAATCTAGAGCCCTGGGATCCCTCTTTGGGTCTCAACTAGGATGGGGTCTGTGGAGGGTGTCACTGGGGGGCTCCCCGCATGAGGGATAGGTAGGGACGGGATGTGGTATCAGGGGGTGCAGTGAGGGTGTCCCTTCAACCCGGGTCCCCCCATAGTGGCAGGAGTGGAGTTTTGGGGGTGGTGTGGTGTTTAGAGGTGGGGTCGTGGTGCCAGGGGCCTCCGGGATGGGGCATTGGAGTGGGAGGGTTCATTGAGGGGGTCTGCCATGCCCAGGTCCCCCCAAGAGGACTGGTGTTGGTTGGGGTGACTTGGGGGAGGTGTACGGGGGGGTCCTGGATTGCCAGGCCCCCTGGCCGAGTGCTGACAGTGGCCACAGGTTTGGGGGCGCCAGGGGGGGGCTGTGGGGCGCCCCCCTCTGCCTGGTGCCAGGACTGGGTGACGGCGCTGCGCTGTGGGGCCCTGGAACGCTGCTCCCACCTCGCCCAGGGACATCCCGATGTGGTGAGAGACCCTCCGTGTCCCCATCACCCCACTAATGTCCCTCCACCCTTCCGTCCGTCCTTGTGCCCTCTGTATGTCCCCAAAACTACACAGGGGTCCCAGTACTCCCACCACGCTGCCACGCCATGTCCACATGCATCCCCCATGGTCCTCATGTTCCCATTCCCCCACGTCCCACATCCCCCTGTCCCTGTGTCCCACCTCCCAACATCCCTGTGCCACAACAACCCCATGTCTTCATGCTCCTCATGTCCCTGTCCTCTTCTGTTGCCATTCCCCAATGTCTCACATCCCTGTATCCCCATGTCCCCACTGTCCTCTCCTGCAGGATGTCTGTGCCGTGTGTCAGCAGCTCTTTGACTTCCTCCACCAGGCTTCCAACCACTCGACTGTGGAGGTGCCTGCGGGGATGGGGGACAGGTGCCACTGTGGGTGTCACCGTGGGGGCCATGGGCACAGATGCCACCATGGTGGTGTGTGCCACTGTGGGGACTGGGATGGTGGGTGAAGTGGAGGCAGCTGTCAGTGGGTGCCATGGTGGTGAGGCGACAGTGTGGAGGCCATCATGTGTGCCATGCCACAAGCACCACCAACGGGCTCTGCACCCAGTGGTGCAGTGGTGCCAGGTGTGGCTGAGGGTGGTGGCGGTGTGTACCGCAGTGGTGGCTGTCACTGTGGCTGTCATTGTGGCTGTCACTGTGGGTTCCCTGGCGCAGGTATTGCTAGATCAGGTGGAGGGGTTTCTGTGCCCACATCTCCCTGCCATGGTGCCCCCCTGCCAGCTCTGCTTCGGGTACTTGTCCATCACCTCCTCTGGCAGATCCAGCCCCTCGTGAGTGGCAGTGGGGGCACACGGCAAGGGGGTTTGGAGACACTGTGGCCCCCAGGGACGTGTGGGCTGCTGAGAGCAGTGCGCACATCACGGCATCCAGAGATACCCCAGGATGCTGGGGAACAGCCGGGTCACGCTGTGCTGCCCTGCAGAAGCCCTGGCAGGTCTGTGCCACGCTGAAGCTGTGTCGCGGAGAGCCCGGCGCCGCCCCGGCCGCGCCCATGCTTGAGGCGCCCGGCACCTACCTGCAGGTACGGGGACACGGGGACAGCGGGGGGGTGGCGGTGGCCCTGTGGGCATCTGCAAGGCCACCGCGGTGCTGGGGGGGCACAGGCAGGCGGTGTCCCCAGCACCGGCTCCAGTGTCCCCCTCCCGCAGGGCTCCGGCGGGGCCGGGCTGGCCCCGGAGGCGCTGCCGCTGCCGTTGTGCTGGCTGTGCCGCTCGCTGGTGGCGCGGGCCGAGGCCGCTGTCCCCGTGGCTGCGGTGGCCGCGGCGGTGGCCGGGCTCTGCCGGGCGCTGCCGCTGCCGCTGGCCGGGGCGTGCCAGTGCCTGGCCCAGCGCTACGCAGCCCTGGCGCTCGAGGGGCTGCTGGGCCGCCTGGGCCCCCGCCTGCTCTGCCGCCTGCTCTTCGCCTGTCGCAGCGGGGACAACGAGGACGTGGGGACGCTGCCGCCGCCCTGGGTGCTGGAGGCCATCGTGGTGCGGCTGGCGGAGTGTGTCAGTGAGGAGGTGAAGGGGGGAACAGGAAGAGGATGGCTGGGGGGCGATGGTCTCCAGGAGGTGACAGGGGCAGCCCAGGGTTACATACTACTGAGGGGACAGGGCCGGGAGTGTCACAGTTCAAATGACACACTCCTGAATGCCGCAGTCCCCAGGAGCCATGCCAAGGACACGAATGCTGGCACAGCCCTAAGGAGACACATCCTGGGTGTGTCAGAGTCCCATCACCCCTGGGGACACAGTGAGGTCCCCCGTTAAGTGCCACCCTCTGTTCAGAGGACAGTACCAGAGTCCACAAGGCACAGCCCTGGGGAGGGGGCTCTGGGGGGTCCTGCCCCCCACCCCGGGTGGAACTCTTCATCCCTGTGTCCCCCCCACAGGACCACAAAGGTGTCGGTGTCCCTGTGCTGTCCCTCCCCCTAGGCCCCTGTGCCCTGGGCCCTACCTTCTGGTGCTCGGGCCCCGAGGCCGCCTGGCGCTGCCAGGTGAGTGGGGACACGGGGACAGGGAGGGCTGCCATCCCCTGGACCCCAGCTGACCCCTCCACCCCTTGCAGGCCCTGCAGCACTGCCAGGAGCACGTCTGGCAGTAGGGGAGCACCAGGACCCCCCCAGCACTGCCCAATAAAGCTTGGATGCAGCTCTGCCTCCCTGTTTTGGTGTGTTTCAGGGGCATGATGGGGGCTGGGGGGGTCACCGGGTGCTGGGAGGCACCACGGGAAGCAGCAGAAACCACAACCCCCCGCAAAACCCAAGGAAGAGAAAAGGTGAAAATGAGTTACAAAAATAGTGGGTGGCATTTACTGGGGGTAACACCTCCAAGGGGAACTGGGGGTGTTCCCAGGTGGGTTTTGGGTGCTCCCAGGGGTGTCTGGGTGTTCCCTGGGGACCTCGGGGTGACGCCAGGGAGGATGGAGGTGCCCCCAGGTGGGCCACGGGTGTCCCTGCGAGTCTCTGGTTGTCCAGAAGGGAGCTTGGGGTGCTCCCAAAGGGGTCTCAGGGTACCCCTAAGGGGGAGCTGGGGGTGTCCCCAAGGGGGTTTCTGGGTGTCCCCAAGGGTCTCAGGCGCCTTGTTGGTTGGTCTCATCCTCCTCACGTCGCTTCCAGATCTGCAGGAGAGCAGGAGGGGGTTGGGAGGGGCACAGGAGATATTCTGGGGACGTTCAAGGGGTGTCAGGAGACATTCTGGGGGTACCATCACCCCCCCGCCCCCCCTCACCTGGATGTAGGCCTCAGACAAGGTGATCATCTGGGGCAGGATGTCAGTCACCTGCAGGTCCTGCAGCTCATACCACTTCCCTGTGCCCTGCCAGGACCCGGGAGGGGACAGGGTGACTCAGGGGGGTCCCCGCGGGCCCCCAAGCCCCCCGAGGAGGGGACACTCACATGGTGCAGGACGTGGATGCGGTAGGAGCCCTCTGAGGGCTTCCCGTCGTGCACGATGTTGGCGATGAGGTCATAGGTGGTGTGGGCGTGTGCGGCCTGCACCTCCTCCGACAGGTATTCCCGCAGGTCCACGTTCCTGGGGACCCTCGCACCCTCAGTGGAGCACCGCCCGTGGGGGACCCCCACTGCACCCACAGACACCTCCAAGGTGCTTCCAAGTCCCTCCTGGACTGTTGCAATCCCCCCCATGTACCCACAACACCCCCTTGGATATCTACATCCCTCTCCCCCCGGTGTTATGAACTCCCTGACACCCTCAGATGCCCAGAAATGCCCACCAAGTGCCTTCAAACCCCTCTTTGATCCCTAAAAACCACTCAAAGCCGTCCTGGATACCTACAAAGCCCCCCCACATACCCTCGTACCACCCTAGATACCCATCCCCTAGCCCAGGTGCTTCCAAAGCCCCTCCAGATCTAGTTTCCAGGGCTTCCCAGATGTTTACAACCCCCTCCAGATCCTCCAATTTCCTCTTAGATGCTTTTAACCCTCTCCACAAGCTCCCAGCCCCTCAAGTCCCCTCCCCATAGCTCACGTGATGGGGAAGTTGACAATGGTGGGGTTCTTCTCCACAAAGAAGTTGTTCTTGGTGAAGCGCTTGATGCAGAAGATGAGGTAGGGGGGCAGGCGTGTCAGCTGGAAACGCTTCAGGAAGTTCTCCTTGTAGGTCTTGTACTCCTTCTCGGTGCTGCCGTTGAACTTGGCCAGGATGCTGAACAGGGGCACCTGGGGGATGATGAGCTGCTCCTTCTCGTCCTTGTAGAGTGGCGCCGTGGGCAGGTCCAGGGTCAGGTACAGGAACGTGGACTCCACCATGCGCTCCTGGTACTCGCTGTTCTGCAGCAGCTGCGCCTTCTCCTCTGCCGGCTGCCATGGGGCACCCACGGGACATCCCCGGTAGAGCCATCAGCCCCACTGGACCCTGCCACCACTCATTTGACCTTGTCACCCCCACTGGATCTTAACACTCTTTTGTTGTACCCAAAGACCCCACACCATACCCCAACACTCCTCAGCCCGCATTTAACCCCATCCCACACCTCATTTGACCCAAATCCCCCCATCAGACACTTCTAATCCCCTGGCCCAGGTGCTCTATGATACCCAACCACCTCCTCCACCACGTCCATTACACCCAACACGCCCCAGCACTCCTAAACTGCCCCCACCTGATCCCACCACCCCACATCTGACCCCAATACTCCCCACTGGACCATGACATCCCTTTTTTTGACTCTGCTATTCCCATTGTACCCCAATTGCCACAGTTCCCCATCTCCCCCCTGGATCCCACTGGACACTGGCACCCCGACACCCATCCTCCCCCATCATACCCTGACACCCCCTCATTGGACTCCAACATCCCCCACTGCACCCCAAAACACCCCGTGCCCCCCCCCCCCCCCCAGTCCCACCAGGTCAGGGTGTGGTAGCTTCTTGGTGAAGATGCGCATGGAGCCCTGGAACACGTCAGTGACAATGGCTGGGGAGACAGCAGGGGCTCAGTGGGGGGAGGGGGGGAGGGCGGCCCCCGAGGGCCCCCCAGAACCTCCCCCCACTCACTCTTCTTCTTCCTCTTGGTGCCGCCCAGCGCCGCGTGCAGTGCGTTCAGGAACCAGGACAGGAACTCCACCCCATCCCCTGGAAGAGCAGAGCTGGAGCTGAGCCCAGATCCTGCTCTGTTCCCCAAGCCCAGAGCCCCCAGACCCAGCCCTGCACCCCTAAATCCAGAGCCTCCAGATCCACTGCTGCCCCCCAAATCCAGAGCTCCAAGACCCAGTGCTGCTTTCCCAAACCCAGCCCTGCACCCCCACATCCAGATCCCCAAGATCCAGTGCTGCCTCCCAAACCAAATCCCATCCCCCAGATCCAGCTCCGACCTCAAAATCCAGAGCCCTGACTCCAGCACTGCCCCCCCAAATCCAAAGTCCCCAAGATCCAGTCCCCTCAAACCCAGCACTGCCCCCCAAATCCAGTCCTGCACCCCCAAATCCAGTGCCTCCCAGGTCCAGCTCTTCCCCTCAAACCCAGCCCCAGCCCTGTCCCTCCAGACCTCACCCTGCTTGGTGATCTGGAAGTTCTTCTTGCTGCAGAGCACCACGGCCTGGAGCATCTCATGGGGTGACACATGTGCCTTGAAATTCCGGGGGTTCCAGAGCTTCCTCATGAGCTCCCCAAAGCGCTGCACCAGCAGGAACATGATATCCCCGGGCGGGCGCTGGATACGCCGGTAGTTCTCCTCCTCCAGGAAGTAATTCCGCAGGGGAGGCACGTTAGACAAGGCCTAGGGACAGAGCAGGGTGGATTCACACTCAGGACCTCCCGAGGGGTGATCTGGGAGGGTCTGGGGGCAGTTCTATAAACCCTGCACTGCCATGGGTGTGAAGCCTGCAAGAAATCTCAAAATAGTTGAATTGGAAAGGATCCAGAGATGGGGTTGACCCTTGACAAATTTTAGGGGTTTGGGGAGAGTTATGGGGGCTTTCACCCTAAAAGGTAACCTGCATTCCCAGGTGTAATGCCTGTAGAAGAGAAGGTGGGATACATCTCAGGAACCCCAAAGTAGGATTTTAGGATTTCAGCGGGGATTCACCCCAAAATGAAGGCAGCATCCCCCAGGTGTGTATGCTGTGGGAAAAGAGGTGGCACTCATCCCTGAGACCCCCAGAACAGGATTTTGGGAGGCTTTCACCCCAGAATGAAGCCTGAACACCCTCACAGGTGTACAGCCCACGGGGGAAAAGATGCGCTTCATCCTTGTCAGACCCGAAGTGATGTTTTGGGGGGGTTTCACCCGAAAAGGAAGCCTTTAGCCCTGGTGTCACCTGGAGCACAGCGTTGGCATAGTCATTGGCCTTGATGTTGTTGAGCCCCACGATGCCAGGCAGGTATGTGGTGCCATCATAGGCCCGGGACAGCTTGGCCTGTTTGTCCAGGTGGGCGATGTGCTGGGCTGTGAAGGTAGGCTTGAGCACATACTGTAGGAAGAGAGAGAGACCTCAGAGCCGGAAGACCCTAACCTGAACCCCTGAGAGACACAGTGATATCAGCCTGACACCTCAGAGCCAGAGGATCCCAACCTGAACCACTCAGAGCTCGGGGGACCCTGACCTGAACCCCTCAAGAGCTGGAGGAGCTCACACCTGAACCGGGGGCACTCAGAGCTGGGGGACCCCAACCTGACTCCTCAGAGTCCGGGTACCCGAAACCTGACCCCCCTCAGAGCTGGGGGAGATGCAAAACCAACCCCCCAGAGCCTCCCACAGGTGCCCCTGGAGCCAGGGTGCCCTCGAAGGCAGCCCGCACCGTGATGTCCTCAAGCGAGGAGTCTATGATCTCGTAGTTGTCAGGCAGGCAGTAGAACTTGAGTGTGTGCAGGTTGAGAAACACGTGGTGGCTCAGCTGCACACTGTGAATGTAGGCGTGTGACTTCAGCCCGCGGCCTGCAGGGACAGGGTTAGGGGGACACAGGGCACAGAGCAGCCATGGGAAGAAGGAGGGAGCACAGAAATGATCCCCCATGCATATACAGGGGGGTTGTGCCCACTGGAGGGTCCCTAAGCTCCCCCAGCAACCACCATGTCCTTGGGTGACCCCGTGGTGTCCCTCCCTTGGCATCCTCTTTGCACCTCTCACCAGCACCCCGTCCCTGGCTGTTCCCTATCACCTTCCCAGGCACAATCCCTGTCCCTGGGCGTCAGCAGGCAGCCCTGGGGTACACCAAAAACATCCCAGGCCCCTTGTGCCTCATTCCCCGGGTGTCCCTCTCATCACCACCCCTATCCCCAAGTGTCCCCTCACAGCAGCACTGGGGTGTCCCTCATGCTTCCCAGCAGCATCCCATTGCTTATGTGTGTCCCGCAAGGCAGCACATTAATCCTGGCTGTCCCCTATGTGCCCCCCAGCAGCCCTGGGGGGGATCTCACCCTGGAAGTACTTCCCGCAGACGAGGCAGGCATAGACGTTGATGTGGGACAGGGAGATGGAGCACAGCTTCTCGAAGTCAAAGTCCAGGACACTCCTGGGGGAGAGCGGTGTCACAAGGCTGTGGAGGAGCTGGGGGGACCCCCAGGGGACCCCAAAACACCCCCATCACCTACTTGTTGATGGTGTCCAGGTAGGGGCAGTGCCGGCTGCGCTGGTCCTCTGGATCAAAGCGCCCATAGCGCACTGGGGGAAAGGAAGATGTTAACAAGGGGAGCATGAGGACCCCAAAACCGCGAAGGTGACGCCCCCTCCAGCCCCCCCTCCGGTACACCTGCCTGGGGCTAATCCCCAGTTCCCCCTGGTGGCTCCAAATCCTGCCCAAAACCAAGCTCAGGACCCCCAGGACACCCCATTCCCTACCCCTCCCCTCCAGGTTACCCTGGACACTCACAGTCCTGTCCCCCCTCCCCCTGGTGTCCTCCGGGACATCCCTGTGACCGCCCCAGGGCCCCAGATACCCCAGTGCCCGCAGTGTCCCCTCACACCCCCGGGTCCCTCAGTGCTGCCCCATACACCCTGCTGTGTCCCACACGCACACCTGGGTCTCTCCACACCCACTCCGGTACTCCCCCGTCCAGCTCCCCGCTGCCCATCGCGGTGTCCCGTTCCCCCTCACTCCCCCCGATCCCCCGTGTCCCCTCAGCCCTTCGGTCCCATCCGTTCCTCTCGGGCCGCACCGGCGGGCTCAGGCTCAGGGTCGGAGTCTCCGTCTGGCTCCCGCTCCCGCTTCACACGCACTGGCGCGGCGGGGGCGGCGGTGCCCGAGTCCCCCCAGACGCCGGTGCCGGTGCCCGGTTCCCGCTTGACGCGCGCCAGATCCACCGGCAGCGCCTCCGCCGCCTCTCGCCGTGAGCGCTCCCGCTCCGCATCCCGCCGGCCCCGCGGCCGCTCGGCGTCGGCGTCACGGCGGCTACGGGAGGAGCCGCGGGCGGAGGAGGCGGCGGAGGAGGTGGAGGCCCCGCGGGCGTCCCGGGAATCGCGGTCCCGCCGCCCGCGGCTCGACATGGCGGCGGCGCGGGCACGGTGCGCATGCGCGTGCGCGGGGACGGGGCGAACCGTCTGACGCTCTGCGCATGCGCACCCTGCCGGCGAGCGCGCGCGCCGAGCCCACGGGGCTCTTAAAGGCGCCGCGTCCCGGTACCGACCACCGCCCCCGGTACCGGGATGGAGGCGGCGGCCACAACGGCGGCCCCAGGCTGGCGCTGCCGCCCTGGGGGACGGCTGGATATGAGCCACGGCTTCGTGCGGCACATCCGCCGCAACCAGCTCGCCAGGTACCTGCTGTAGCGTGGGCCTCTCGGCCACCCCCGGGGACCCTCGTTCCAGGGCCCCCGGTGCTCCTTTTCCCCCCCACTCCGTAACCCCGATGTCCCTCTGGTGCCCAGGGACGCGTACGACCGCGCGGTGCGGCAGGCGCGGGGCCGAGCGCGGACGCGGCTGACCCCGGCCCCGGCGCGGCCCCGGCGGCCCGACCAGCAGGTGTACCGGCCGCACCGGGGCGGCGGTGAGCGGCACCGAGGGGGCGGGGAGGGGCGACCCCGAGACGTGGAAGGGGGAGGGGAGTACCGGGACCGGGGGATGCGGGGTCTCCTAAGGGACCGCAGGAGATGGGGGGAAGGGGCAACACCCCAGGGTGGGCTGGGACTGCCGGGGGTGGGGGGAACACGGAGGGGACTGCTGGTGGGGATGGGGGCGCCCGGGCTGCGGGGAAGGAGGGCGCCCGGGGGTGGAGGAGACACGGGGAGCGGGGATGGGGGCGTCCGGGGGTGCTGGCCTGGTAGCCCCCGCTGAGGGTGCAGGTGCCACAGGGGGGCCCGGGGGCGACGCCAGCGCGGGGGCCCCCCCCGACAGCTGCGGGGCTCCCCCGGACCCCGCCCGCGGGCCGCGGCTCTTCTGCCTCGAGTACGAGGGGGACGACGGGCAGGTCACGGCCGTCATCGTGCACCAGGTGCGGCCCCGGGGCTGGGGATGGGAGAACGGGGATGAGGGGGGTGTGGGTTCTGGGGGGTGCAGGGAGTGGGATGTGGGGGGTTCTGAGGGGTTGGGGGGTGCCGGTGCGGGGTGTGAGGGTTCTGAGGGGCAGACAACACTGCCCTGGGTGTGGAGGTGCAGTGGGTGCCCATCGGAGGGGAGTGCCCATGGGGCAGGGGGTGCTGCCATGGCATGGAGGGTGCCACAGATCTCAGCTGCCATGGGATGCTGCCATGGGGGTCCCATGGGGCAGGGGGCATTGCTGTGGGGCCCAGCGGGTACCATAGGGCTGGGGCTCTGTGGGGCGCTGTGGATAGGGGCTCTGTGGGGCGGTGGCTGCTGTAGGTGGGCACCGTGGGGCGCAGGGGGTGTCGTGGGGCGCCCGCAGGTCCCGCGGGTGACACGAGTGCCACAGGGGGACAGCGCCGAGGAGGTGACACGCCGGGTGTGCGCCCGGAGCCCGCTGGAGCCTCCCCTGCGCAGGGCCCTGTGCCAGCGCGTGCAGGACGAGCTCAGCAAGCGCCGGGGCACCGGGTGACGCTGCCACACCCTCCCGAACACTGCCACCCTCATGGGACCGGTGCCACCCCGGGGTCCGGTGCCATCCCCCCGGTGTCAATAAAGGTGCTGCGAGGCTCTGGTGTCTGTCACTGCTCGAGGAAACTGAGGCGCAGCGGGGGAAGTGATGTGGCTCCTGGGTCCCCGCGTGTCACATTCTTACTTGTGCCCTTCAGCAGCCCGTGCCAGGTTGGCCCCATACAGTGACACTGTGTTCCAGGTCCCCCCAGTCCCTCCCAGCTGTCACCATGTCCCTGGGGACCTCCAGTCCCCTCCTTGGAGTCCCCATCCCCTCCTCAGGTGTCATTGTGTCCCCAGGGTCTCCTCTGTGTCCCCCACCTTGGTGGTGGGGCCACAGTCCCCTCCTGCCCCTGGCCCAGGTTGGTGGCATCTCTGGCCAAGGCCAGGTGTGCCCAGGGTGTCCCTAGGGCACATGCCATGGGTGTGTCTAGAGTGGGTTGTTTATTGTGGCGGTCCTTGAATCAGGGCCTTTTGTTATTGTAGGGTCCCCTTGAAGATCATCCCACTGCTCTGTTTTTGTAGGGTCTCCCAGCAGCAAGGCACAGAGGGGTTGTTATTGTAGGATCTACCCCAAGCAGATTATGGTGTTTATTTATTGTAGGGTCTCCCTAGAGAGGGTCCAGATGTTCTCCCTGGAGCAGGTCCTGCTGGTTTGTTTTTTTAGAGTCTCTCCAAACAAAAGTTGGGGTGTTTATTTCTCATACGGTTTCCTCAGAGGAGATCCAGCATGTTTGTTATTGCAGGGTCTTCCCAGAGATCATCCTGATCGTTTGTTATTGTAAACAACAATACGATCTCCCTGAAGTAGATTCTGATGTTTAGTAATTGTAGGGTCTCTGTGGAGGTTCTGGCATGTTTCTTATTGTAAGACCTTCCCAGGACAGAAGGGAATTTCTTCAATGGGATATAATCCCATTGGTTTGGGATTGTAGGATTTCCCCCAAGTGATACCCCTGCTCTGTTTTTGTAGGGTCTTCCCAAAGAGTTCTTGGTATTTATTTACTGTAGGGTCTCCTCAAAATAGATCCTGGTGTTTATTTATCATAGAGTCTCCCTGAAGTAGATCCGGCAGACTTGGTTGTTGTGGGGTCTTAAACATATTCTGGTGTTTATTGTAGAGTCTTCTCAAGAGTTCATCCTGCTGGTTTATTTTTGTGGGGTATCTCCAAATCAGGTTCTGGAGCCCTAGTTACTGTAAGGTCAACCCAAAACAGATCTCGGTATTTATTTATTATAGGGTCTCCCTGAAGTTCATCCTCCTGGTTTGTACTTGTAGGGTCTCCCCAAAAGAGCTCTTGGTACCTGTTGTAGTGTTTCCCTTGAGTGGGCCTTGCTGGGTTTTTCTTGTAGGGTCTCTTCAAAGCAGATCTTGGGGTTTATTTATTGTGTGGTCTCCTTGAAGCTCATCCCACTGGTTCATTATTGTTATTGTAGGGTCTCCCCAAGCAAGTCCTGGTGTTTATTTGTCGTGGAGCCCCTCAGGCTCTGTCCCCCCATTGCTCTGTCATGAAGTTCCTGCAGTGCTAGGGGGGTGCTTGGAGCCCCCCTGTGGGGTAGGGACAGTGCTGGTGACAGTCTCAGGGGATGACCGTGCCAGGGCCAGTGCCAGTGCCAGACCCAGAATGAAGAGGAGGAGGAGGCCGAGGCCAAGAGCCACCAGGTGCCACCGCCGATGTCGCCTGCGCTGGCGCCGCGTCACTGTCTGTGTGGTGCGAGTGAAGGCTTCACTCTGTGGGGACATGGAGGAGGATAGGGGACAGTTCCCCCAAGGGCTACAGAGGGATTGGGGGGATCTGTAGGAACAGACAGACACCCCCCAGCCCTTCTATGGCCCCAGAGTCTCTCCTCTCCAGACTATGTCCCCACAGTGTCCCCCAGGACTATAGGTTACCCCAAGGCTCTATGTCCCAATACTTTGTCCCTCCTAGGTCTCTGTATGTTCCCCCCACAGGGCTCAATGTCCCTAGAGCAAGTCCAGTCCTGAGACTGATGTGCCCATCGTGTCCCCCAGGCCTCTGTATGTATCTCATAGGGCTACATGTCCCTATACTGTGCCCCCAGGCTATATGTCCCTAAAACAGATCCTCCCTGGGGCTTAATGCCTCTGCAGTGTTCCCGGGCTCTGTGTCCCCAGATTTAAATGTCCCCATAAAACCCCACTCCCCCTCCCCTGGTCCATGTGTCTATGCTGTCCCACCCTGTGTCTCATGTCCTGGCCATCTCCAGGTATCCCTATAGCGCCACACTCCAGCCCCGGGCCATATGTGTCCCCAGGCCCTGACCCGGCTCTGCAGCTGTTCCAGGTGTCCCCTCTAGTGCCACTCCCCCACCGCCGCGTGTCCCACCGCTAGTCGCAGGTCCTGGGCCCGGCTCTGCAGCTGCTCCAGGTGCCCCTCCCGCTCCAGCGCCCGCGCCAAGTTCTGTCGCATCAGATCCACCACCTCCTCGGCCTCGAGCTGGCACCGCGCGAGCCCCGCCTGGGGACACGGGGGGACAATGTGGGGGCACCGTGGGGACATGGGGGAATGTTGTGGGAATACTGGGGATATGGGCGCTGTGGTGAAGAGGGACCGGGGGGACAAAGGGAATGGGGATGCCACAGGGACAGGCAGGGACACAGAGGACAATGGGCACCATGAGGAAGGGAGACTGGGGAAACGTGGGGACACACGAACCACGGGGCTGGGCCCTGTGGGGACCAGGGGACATGAGGATTATGGGGACGATGGAGACACGGAGGACTATGAGGAAACTGCCACCATGAGGACAAAGCCTGACCATGGGAACAAGGGCACTCCAGGGACATTGGCACAGCGAGGGGGGAACACAGGGACCACGGGGACAGGAAAACCGTGGGGACGTGGGCACAGGGCCACCTGAGGATGGGAACCGGGGGAGTCACGAGCACTGCGGGGCTAAAACACACACGAGGACACCGGGACCACGGGGCACGGCGGGGGACACGGCGACATGCGGGGCCGGGACACGGGAAGTCCCGCGCAGGCCACCTCCCACCACCCCTGAGGGCCACGTCCCTCCCTTCGGCAGGGTGAGCCGGCGGAGCGGACCGGGACTGGCACCGGCACCGGGGGATCCCGAACCCCGCGAGTCCCGTGTCTCCGATCCCGGTCTGCCCCCGGGGAAAGCGAAAGCGAAAGCGGTGGCAGCGAGGCCCGGGACTCACCATGGTCCCGGTACTGCGGGTCGCTGTCGGTGCCCGGACCAGTGCGCCCGTTCCTATACCCGTCCCGCCTCGGGCCCCAGCGGCCGCCCCGGACGGGAGGGACCGGGACCGCCCCCGCTCCTACCCTCGAGTGTCCAGTCCTGGGACACCCCGGCCCGCAACCCCCAGGACGGGGCTCCCCAAGACCCTCCCCCCACTCAACCCTCCCCAACTTCCAGGTGCCCTGTGTCCCCAGAGAGCCCTCTGTCCCCACAGCCCCTCATGTCCCCATGTGTCCAGAGAGCCCCCTGTCTCTACAGTCCCCCATGTGTCCAGAGAGCCCCCTGTCCCCACAAGTTCCCCATGTCCCCAAGACCCCCAGAAATGTCTGCCTTGGGACTGCCCTGCCCCCGAGAAAAGTGGCCCCACAGCCACATTCACAGACACATGTCAGAGTCCTCAAGTCCCTGCAGATATGGGGCCACACCAGGACCCCCATGTCCCTGCCCCTCCCCTTCCCCCCCCTTCCCCCCAGCCTCCGAGAGTGGCAGTGCCACCACAGTGTCCTTTGTCCCTCGGTGCCTGGCACGGCCTCCAGCGCCCTGGCACAGCACTTAACCCCCCCCACGCATCCCCTCATGCCTGTGTCCCCACACGTGTCCCTATTCTTACCCCACGTGAGTGTCCCTGGGGCCTGCCCCCGACCATGTCCTCCCATGTCCCCATGCATAATCCTGTGTCCCTATGCCTGTCCCCTCTGTGTCCCCATGCCTGTGTCCCCCCATGTCATGTACCCATGCCCATCTCACCATGTCCATCTGTGCCCCCCACCATGTCCCTTGTGTCCTCCCACCACACACACACACAGGTCCTGCTGGCTCTTCCCTCCATCTGTATTTGGGCCTGGGGGTGGCTGTGTTTTCATGGGGACAGTGGCTTTAGGTGGGGATGGTGCCAGTGGCTAGGAGGATGATGAGGACGAGGACAATGACGCCCACGAGGCCGAGGATGACGAGCAGCTTCACATTCTTCCACCAGTAGCGCCGGGCCATCTTCTGGGACGTTGTGCGGAAGTGCTCTGACTGCAGGGACAGTGCTCAGAGACATGCGGACATCCCTGATATCCTGGGGACAACACACTGCCACCCCAGGGGCACCCCACAGCCATCCCAGGGCCATCTGCTGTGATCCCAGGAACGTTCCTGACATACTGGGGATGCCAAGTGACACTCAGGGACATCCCTGACACCCTGGGGACTGCTCACTACCACTCAGGACACTCATCTGTTGCACACCAGGGACTACACTGCCACCCCAGGGATATCCATGCCACCCTGGAGAACCCAAATGCCATGCAAGGGACAGCCCTTACCTCCTGGGAACACCTCTGTCACCTGGGGACCCCAACTGTTACTGCAGAGACATCGGCTAAGATCCTGAGGACAGCCGTGCCACCTTGGGGACCCCAAAGGCTATCCTGGAGACAATCCTGCCCACCCTGGGGACCCTCTGTTGCCACCCCCACACCAACTGCAACCCTGGAGATCCTCGTGGACATCTTAGGGACAACCCCTGCCCATCCCACTGGGCACCCTGCAGTCCCCTTAGGGACCCTGGTCTCCCTTGGGGATCTTGTGTCCTTGACCTGGGGTTCCAGCACCCACCCTGGGGACCCAGTGTCACCTCAGGAGCCCTGCAGCACCTTGGGGACTTTGGAATCAACTCAGAGACACTGTGCCACCTTAGGGACTTCAGGGAGCATTGTGCCCGCCCTTGGGACCCTATGCCCACCCTGGTGACTCCATGTCCAATGTGGGTACCCCATGCTCACCCTGGTGATCTCCTGCCCACCCTGGTGACCCCACAACTACCCTGGTGACTCCTTGCCCACCCTGGGGACCCTGTGCCCACCCTTGGGACCCTATGCCCACCCTGGTGACACCATGCCCAATGTGGGTACCCCATGCCCACCCCTGGTGACTCCCTGCCCACCCTGGGGACCCCATGCCCACCCTGGTGACCCTGTGCCCACCCTGGGGACTCCGTGTCTCCCCTCACCGTAGCCTCCAGGTCCTGGCTCTTGCTGTGCAGCTGCTCCAGGTTCTCGCCGCGAGCGAGGATCCGCTCCACGTTCTGGGTCATGATGCTGGTGACCCCCTGCACCTCCCGTTGCAGCGCTCGCACGCGCCCCTCGCCCGTCGTGGCCTGTGTCGCGACATCCGCCGGGATCCTCCCTGGGACCCCCGCCTGTAGCACAGGGCAGGAGTCAGGGAGCACCTTCAGCACTTCACATATATCCTGGACATCCCCACAACACCCCACAGCACCCTATAGACACCCCAGGTATGTCCTGGGGCACCCCTGCACCCTCAGTGTACCCTGGCTACCCTACAAACACCCCATGCACCCCAAAGGTATCTGCCAAGCCTCTCATGGGCACCCCAGCATCCCATGTGAGCCCCATATACACCCCCTGTGCACTCCCCATACCCCATATACACCCTACAGGTACCCCAAGGGTGCTCCCACAGTACCCACAAGGCACTTCATGTCCACCCCAAGCACCCTATGTGCACCCTGGGCACCTCTCCAAGCACCCTACAGGCACTTCCATGACATCGCATATGTATCTCAGACACCCCACAATGATCCCTGGATAGCCCATATACACTCTCAAGTGTCCCTTAAGTGCCCTGCGTCCCCCACAAGCACCCCGGGGCCACCTCAAGCATCTACTGAGCACCCCATGGGCATCCTGGGTACTTCCTCGAGCCCCTACAGGCATCCCACACCCCCACCACCTCCAGCACCCCATAGGCATCCTCTGAGCACCCCATGTGCCCCCCAGGCATGCATGCCCCAAGAACCCTGCAGGCACAGTGTGGGCCCCCCAGCACCCTGTGTGCACCCCTTGGCATCCCACACGTACCCCAGATCCCCATATGAACCCCAGAAACCCGAAAAAGACCCCCTAAGCACCTTACGGGCTCCCCAGGCACTCTCTGTGAACCCACCTGGCACCTTGTACGCTCCCTGGGCACCCCATGTGAACCCTATGTCAAAGCAGCCCACAGGTGCACCACGTCCACCCCAACCACCCCACAGGCGCTTCCCCAGGCACCTTTTGGGTCCCCCGAACACCCTCCCGCATCCCATAGGCACCCCCTTGGCACCCAGCCCCCTATACACAACCCGGATACCCCAAAGGAACCCTCTAAGCACCCTATGGGCACCCCATGGCACCCTGGGCACTCTGTGGGCACCCCAGACGCTGCGCTGGAGCCCCCGAACGGACCCCCTAAACACCCTAGGGGCACCCCTCACCCCCTATGGACACCCCATTGGCACTCCACAGATACCCAGGAACACCCCGGCTGCTTCCCCACGCACACTCCCGGAACCCCGACACATCCCGGCGCCCCCACAGAGACTCCCATAGGGACCCCCACAGGGACCCCGCACCCACCCCCGGTACCCCCCCATGTCCCGGTCCCATCATGGTCCGATCGGCCCCGCTCAGCTCCGCTCCCACGGCGGTCCCAGACCCGCCCCGCCTGCCCGGGGCTTCCGGGAGCTGCGGCAGCGCAGGGCGGGGGCGGGCCGGGGGCGGGCCGGGGGCGCGGCGGGGCCAGGGTCAGGGCGGGGTCGGGGGTCCTACAGAGCCGGGGATGCCGGGTTTGCGGGGGTCGGGGCGGGTTGGCCGGAGCCGGGGAGGCCTGGAAGGGGTCGCGAGTCGGGGATCGCGGGCCGGGGTGCCGGGGTCGGGGTTGGAGGGTCATAGGCCGGGGGTCACGGGCCGGAGGTCGTGGGTCGGGGTGACCGGCCGGGGGCTGGGGGTCGCGGGCCGGAGGTCGGGGGTCATGAGCCGGGGTCGTGGGTGACGGGCCGGGGTCGTGGGTCACGGGCCGGGGCTCGCCGCCTGATAGGGAAAGAGCGGGGCTTGGCGGGGTGTGGTCACATAGCCCCGCCCCTTCGCCGCTGATTGGCTACCGCTGCCGTCACGCGCGGCGGCGGCGGGGCGGGGCGAGCCGGGCCGGGCCGGGCCGCGGCCGGGGCGATGGCGGCTGCGGCGGCAGGGGGTACGGAGCGTGGCGGGGCGGGGACTTCCGGCACCCCCGGGAACCCCATGATGCCTGATCTGTGACCTCCGACAGGCCCGGCGCGGCGGAGGCGGCCGGAGCGGGGGGAGGCAGCGGGGCCTCCCCCGAGCCCCACCGGATCCCCCAAATCGTCCGGTACTGGCCCCGGGTTGGCGCGGCGGCTGCTGGGGTTCGAGCTACGGGACCTGACACGATGGCACCGTTTCGTCCGTCTGCTGCACCGGCCGCAGGACCCCGCTGCGCTCGGAGCTTTCCGCGCAGCCTTCGGTCAGCGGGGATAGGACACCGGGGGAGTTCCGGGGGGACCGGGGCTGGGAGGGACCAGGAGAGCCGGAGGTACTTCGAGAGGACAGGGCAGACCGGCGGCTGGGCGAGCCAAGGGGCTCTAAGGGGCACGGGGACCGCAGGGCTCGGGGGCACCGTGACAGGGAGACCATGCACGGGGGGACGCCGGGTGGACACCGGAGGGATAGAGCGAGCAGGGACTGGGGGGGACCAGAGAGCTGGGAGGGCTCTGGGGGGGCTCGAGGGCACGGGGAACCTCTGGATGGGAGGGTCCGGAGGGGCTCGAGGGCACAGGGAGATCGTGGGCCAGAAGAGCCTCCGGAGGGGAAACGGGGTACCAGGTGCAGGCAGGCTGGGGGTCCCGAGTGGCCGCGGGGACCGCGGGGCTCTGGCGTGGCTGGAGGGGCTCTGAGAGGGATGGGGGAGCTGCGGGAGGGCTCCAAGGGGATAGAGAGGCTGGGCCTGCGGGGGCTCAGGGAATCCAGGGGTTTGGGGGGCATCGGGACTCTGTGGGGGCTAAGGGGTTTGGGGAGAGGGGCTGAGATCCAGGGGTCCCCCCCGTCTGAGGGGAGCCGGCAATGTCCAGCCGTGACACGTCAGCACCAGAGCAAAGGTTGGGCAACGGCCTGGGTGGGTGGAAGGGTGAGTGCCCGCTCGGACACCCAGGGGGCCCTCTGGGGGGACACGGCCACTGACCGACGGACGCCTGGGCCCCCCTGGCCCGGTGGGGTCACTGACCCCCTCTTCACATCCCCCAGGGCTGCTGATGGCCCTGGATGTGCCACAGGAGCGGGGCCTGGGGCACCTGGACCAGCGGTACCTGGATGGGCTGGAGGTGTGTCGCTTCCCACTACTGCCTTTCCTGCAGCCCCTGCCCCTGGACTGGATGTACCTGCTCTACACCATCATGTTCCTGGGTAGGACTGGGATGGGGCCAGGGAGGAGCGGGACAGGCAGGGGATGGCACAAGGGCAGGAGCAGGGGTGGGATGTGGACAGGAATCATGGAGAGGTCTGGCACTAGGGTGGGAATGGGCATGGGGACTGGAACGGGAAATGAGGGGGGCTAGGGGACAGGCACCAAGAGGGGACAGGGGATACATCGGGGGTCCTGTGCCCACAGGAGCATTGGGCATCATGCTGGGGTGCTGCTACCGACTGAGCTGTGTGGCGTTCCTGTGCCCGTACTGGTACCTGCTGCTGCTGGACAAAACCTCCTGGAACAACCACTCCTACCTTTACGGGCTGCTGGGCTTCCAGCTGGCACTGCTGGGTGCTGACCGCTACGGGTGCGCACCTGGGGGGCTGCAGGGACCCCAAAGTACAGGGAGCTGTGGTGACACAGGGCTACATGGGGGGCACTGGGGATACCAGGCTCTGGGGTTCTGCAAGGCAGCAGGGGCAGCAGGGTAGGGACATGGGGCTGGGGTTCCCATGGGGTGGCAGGTTTTGGGATCCCTTGTGGCTTGGGGCCCCCGGACGTGGCATAGGCCATGGTGTCCCCAGCAAATGGCACAGGTGCTGGAGTCCCCATGGTGCTGTGTCCCCAGGGGACATCCCTGTGGCCCTGTATACCCCCACCTGATGGGACAGGTCCTGGTATCACCTCTGGCACTCTGTCCCCAGCGTGTCCTTGTGGGGCAGTGACACATGTGCTCACGGCTCTGGCAGTGGGTGACAGTGGCCTTGTCCCCACCATGCCCGGAGTCCCCCATGTCCCCGCAGGTCCGTGGACGGGCTCTTCCGTCCCCAGAAGCAGAACGCCCATGTGCCGCTGTGGAACTACACCCTGCTGCGTGCCCAGGTGAGTGTCCCTGCCCTAGGACCCCCGGGATCCCCTGGGGCCCCCAGGACCCTCTGACCCTGATCCCTCAGGTGTTCATTGTGTACTTCATCGCGGGGCTGAAGAAGCTGGACGCCGACTGGGTCGGGGGGTTCTCCATGGGGACCCTCGCCCGGCACTGGCTCTTTGCACCCTTCAGGTCAGGGGAGGGGAAGGGGCGAAGGGGTGGGAGGGTGAGGAGGGGGACAGGGGTGGGGTGAGGATGGGATGAGGGTGAGGGGGGTGAGGGGTGGTATGGGGTGAAGATGAGGAGGGTGAAGGGGGTTGATGAGGGTGCAGTGGAATTGAGGGGTCCAAAGTGGGGATGAGGAGGGGTTGATGGGGATGGGGTGACAGGAATGGGGCACAGTGAGGAGGGTCAGGGGGGGATGATAGGGAGGGATAGGATGGGATGGGATGGGATGGGATGGGATGGGATGGGATGGGATGGGATGGGATGGGATGGGATGGGTTATGGGGTTGGAGGATGAAGTTAAGGAGGTTTGATGAGAATGGGGAAGGGGGATGATGGGGAAGGGAGGGTGACTGATGGGCTGAGGTTAGGATGGGGATGGGATGAAGAAGGGTACAGGGGGATGGGTTTGGGTTGCAGATGAGGAATGTAGAGGGGATAGGGTGAGGCCGATCCCAAGGAAGGCTCTGTGTCCAGGCTGGTGCTGTCCGAGGAGCTGACCAGCCGGCTGGTGGTGCACGGGGGGGGCCTGGTGCTCGACCTCTCTGCTGGTTTCCTGCTCTTCTTCGATGCCACGCGGCCCCTTGCCCTCATCTTCGTCACCTACTTCCACTGCATGAACTCCCAGCTCTTCAGCATCGGTGAGGAGGGACATGGCACCCCCAGACACCCCCAGTGTGCCCAGGGCGCCCCCAGAGCATCCCCAGCCTGGACATGGAACCCCTGGGTACCCCGAAACACCCCCAACCAGCGCAAGCTCCCCCCACCACGGCCCCCAAAACCCTCCCAGTCCTGAACAGGGGTGCCCAGACACTCTAAAACATGCTGGCCCTGTGCAGCCCCCCCCCAGTCCCAGACAGGGGCACCCCCCCCACCCCTGGGTGGAGTGTGGGTCCCTAAGTGTCCTCCTCCCAGGCATGTTCTCCTACACCATGCTGGCCACCAACGGGCTCTTCTGCCGACCCGAGTGGCCACGGGGGCTCCTGGCCCGCTGCCCCCCCTGGCTGCAGGGGTGGCTCCCCAGCACAAAGCCCCCCCAGCCCAGCCCTGACTGCCACTACGGTGGCCGGGGGGCACGGGGGGGCCTTCGGCCTCGCCAGCACTTGGCCGCAGCCTTCACCATCCTCTACGTGCTGGAGCAGCTGTTCCTGCCCTACTCCCACTTCATCACCCAGGTGGGCATGGGGGGGAGGGACTGGGGAGACAAGGGGGTGGTCTGATAAGAGTAAGGAGTTTGGGAGACACAGGGAGGGGGCTGGGGGATGAGGGCATTCGGGGGCATATAGGGGGCAGTTTGGGGAGTGGGCATTTAGGGTAGTAAATGGGGGCTGGTGGTCGGTATGGGAGTCCCTGTCCCCTCCTTGTCCCATGGGGACTCTGTCACCCGCCCCCCCCCCATGTCTCGCCAGGGCTACAACAACTGGACCAACGGGCTCTATGGCTACTCTTGGGACATGATGGTCCACTCCCGCTTCCACCAGCATGTCAAAATCACCTACAGGGACGGGCTCACTGGGGAGGTGGGCTACCTGAAACCAGGGGTGAGTAAGCCCTGTGGGGACCTGAGACTGGGATGCACTGGGCTCAGGGGTATGGAGGGATGGGGGCTTTGGTCAGTTTAGACAAACTCAGTGGTTTGAGCCAACACCCACCCCCAGGCCTCAGTTTCCCCAATCCCTCCTTTTCTTGCCATGCCTCAGTTTCCCCCTGGTGACCCTCCATCACCCCAAAATACAGAGACTTCCCCCATGGCCCTCAGTTTCCTTCATCCCTCATTTTCCCCCATCACCTCCCACTCATGGAACAACCCCCGTGCATCATTTTTCCCTATTCTGCATTTTCCCCCAATCCTCATCGTGGCCCACAGCCCTCAGTTTCCCCCATCCCTCATTCCCCTGCGCCTCAGTTTCCCCACGCCTGTCCCCTGGCTGACCCCGGCTCCCCGCAGGCGTTCACGCAGAGCCGGCGCTGGCGGGACCACGCGGACATGCTCAAGCAGTACTCGGCCTGCCTGAGCCAGCTGCTGCCGCGCTATAACATCACCCAGCCCCAGATCTACTTCGATGTCTGGGTGTCCATCAACGAGCGCTTCCAGCAGAGGTGGCACAGGGGACAGGGGCTGTGGGGGGACAGGGGCAGTGGGGGACCCATGGGTGGGTCTGGAATGGGAGCTGTGGGTGCTGCTGCTGGAGTTGGTGCTTTCAGCTGAGGTTAGGGAAGACACAGGTGCATGTGGGGTGTTGGTGGCTTGTCCCCACAGGCTGGGGGACCCACAGGTGGACCTGTTGTGTGCTCTTATGGTCCCCCATGCAATTAGCACCGTCACTTCCACAAGTGGTCTAGGGGCATGCACAGGATTTGGGGGTGCTGCAGGGTCTTGACACCTTGTCTCCTCAGACTTGTGGACCCCCGGGTGGACCTGGTGCGTGCCCCATGGTCTCCATGGACCCCCACACCGTGGCTGCTCCCACTGCTGGTGGATCTCTCTCCGTGGCGCCAGCGGCTGCAGGAGCTGGAGGCACAGCTGGATGGACACACGGACACCGTGTTCATTGCAGACTTCCCTGGTGTGGCCCAGGGGGGTCAGGGGGTCCTGGGGGTGGGGTACAGGGGTTTCAGGCCATGGAGAGGGGTCAGTGGTGAGTACAGGGAACAAAGGGTCTCAGGAGTTCAGGGGTTGGGTAGAGGGCGTGGGGGAATCCTGAGGTTGAGGTGGGATTTTGGGGTACAGGGAGTCCCTGCAGTCAATGGGAGGGGTGGAATAGAGGACATGGTGGGGGATGGCAGAGGGCTTGGAGGGATGTGGTACAGGGCACAGGGGGTCCCAGGAGTTCGAGGTGGGGGTACAGGGCCAGCTGTGTTCCAGGCCTGCACCTGGAGAACTTTGTGAGCGAGGACTTGGGGAACACGAGCCTGCGGGTGCTGCGGGGGAAGGTGCTGGTGGAGCTGGTGGACCAGCAGCAGAACTACTCGCTGCAGGAGGGTGAGGGGATGCAGGTGAGAATCAGAGAGATCCCGGGGGGCTTGGGGGTGCCTGAGGGTGCTGACACTCCTGCTCCCCCAGCTACCGGCGGGGCAGTATCACAAGGTGCACACAGTGTCCCCGGAGCCCTCGTGCTACATGTACCTGTACGTGAACACCACGGCACTGGAGCTGGAGCAGAACCTCACAAGGCTGTGGGAGCTTCGGGAGCGCGCACGCAACGGCACCGGTGAGGGCGGGGGAACCCCAAATACCCAGTAATCCCTGGGGACCCCAGAACCCCTGACACCTCACACCTAGGAATCTCAAAATCCCTGACACCTTGCTTCCTGGGACCCCAAAATCCCTATCACCTCACCCCCTGGGCAGCACTGGGGGCTCCCAAAAGCTCCATCACCTCAGCCCCTGGTGAGCAGTTGGCTGAGGAGATCATGGAAGTCGCTGTCACTGGGGTGGGGGGGACAGCGGGGCCCCCAAATTTGTCACCTCATTCTCTGGTGAGCAGTAGGCTGGGAGGATGACAGAGCAACCCAGCCCCTGTCACTCAGGTGGGGAGATCATGGCAAGGTCCCTAGTTACTATCACCAGACTGGAGGGATCATGTGAATCCCCAGCATCCCTGGCACTGAACTGTCGGGATCACAAGCACCCTAAAACCCCTACCACCTCCACCCCCCAGAACAGTCCCCACTGCCTCCCGAGCTGCGTCCCCTCCTGGGGGAGCCCCCACCCGCGGGGGTCGCGCTGGACCCGGTGGTGTCGCTGTTCCTGCGGCGGGAGCAGCGGGAGCAGCGTCGTGAGCGGGAATCCAGCCTGGCCCAGCGCCTCCGGCGCTTCCTCCGCAGGAAGTTCTTCCTCTTCCGACGCAGGTCAGTCCCAAAGCCCCCTGTCCCCCCTGTCCCCCACTGCACCCCCCGTTGTCACCACTGTCCCCGCAGTGCCCTGATGACGCTGATTGCGCTGCGGAACCTGGCGCTGGGCCGCCCGTCCCCAGAGCACCTGGCACAGGAGGTGGCCTTCGCCAGCTGGCGTGGGGAGGAGGAGGCTCGGCCCGAGACCGACGGGGGGGCCCAGAGGGGCCCCGAGCTCTAACTCCCCAAATAAATGCAGTATTTTAAGCCAGAAATCTTCCCGTGCCTCAGATTCTTCCCATAACCCATGCCCTGTCGGTTCCCCACCCACTGTACCCATTTCCTTCCCTCCTTCACCAGCTCCAGCTCCCCAACCACATTCCCTTCCTGGTTCATCCATCCCAGTCTCCCCTGTACCCCAGTGCCTATTTCCCCTCACACTCCACTTCCCCCATACCCCAATTTCCTGATCTGTTTCCCCATTCCTCAGTATTTCCCAAACTCCAACTTCCTCCACACCCATTGTCCTGATACTCATTCCTGCCTTATACTCCACTTCCCTCACCCCTATTTCCCCAGATCCCAGGACCCTGTGCCTCAGTTTCCCCGGTACCTTTCCCCTCAACTCACCTTCTCTCCATCTACCCCCCCATATCCCACTTTCCCCAATTTCTCCATCTCCCAGAACCTCAGTTCCCAAAACCCTCCAACTGCCCCCTGTACCTGTTTCCCCCACATACTCAAGGTGGCTCTAACTCATCACTTTTATTGAGATTTTTTTTTTAAATTTCTTTTTGGATTCAGTGGATCAAAACATTCGGACGAAACCTCCCGAAAATAGTAAAATCAAGAAAAAAAAATCCTCAAGGGCAGGAGAAAGCCCCCTCTGCCCCCCTCCAAGGCACTCTGGGGGCCGGAGCCTGGGCGGGCAGTAAACAAGCCGGCTTCTCTGTACCACACCGGCCACCAGCGCCACGCCCAGGGCACCCCCGGCGCTCCAACAAACCCAATCCCCCCCCGTTTCACCCCAAATTGGTGGGGGGCGGGGGGAGGGCAGGGGGAGGGGAAGAGGGGGCTTTCAGGGATCAGGAGCTGCCAGCTGAGTGCGGGGACTTCTCTGTACTCACGCCCCCGCCTCGGCGCACAATAAATACACCAAACCTTCAAGTATCAAGCGCCAAATGCCCCCCCTTTCCCCCCAAAATCCAGACAAACTTGGGGGGTGGAGGAGTTGTGCAGTTGGGGAGTCGCTTCAGCTTTTGGATTAAAACCCCCAAAAAAAAAAAAAAAAAAAGTAAAATGTTTTCCTCTGGTACTGAACCCGCGGGGGGGGGGTTGGGTGTTGGTTTTAGCGTGTCCCCCAAAAATGTGCATTTTTGGAACAAAAAGAGGTTAAAAATGAGGGTTAAGAACCAAACCCAGCACCAGCAAGGTCCCAGGGGGGTGGGGAGGTGGAATGGGAAGTGTCTTCCCCACCAGTGGGACTTGGGGAGCCAAAATGACTATCCCCCCCAGTGGAATGGGGACTGTGGGGGGGACACACAGAGAGCCAGAAGGAGGGGTTTGTGTGGCCCCCTCGCAGCAGGATGGGGGGAACAGTAGGAGCCAAAATGAGGGGGTCCCCCTAATGTAGTGGAATTTGGGGTCAAGGGGGAACGGAGAGTGATAAAATTGGGTATCCCCCCACGGCAGGACTGCTGGGACCCAAAACGGGGTGGCCCTTGCCACAGTGGGACTGTGGGGGTATGAGGAAGGGTGAGAGAGGGCACTTGGGCCTTTTTCTCCATCTCACAGCTCGGAATAAAGACAGATTTGTTAAAAATTATCCAGAGGGATCCGGGGGGACACGAATGGGAGGGCTCCAGGAGAGGCACATGGTCCCCACACAACCAAAACGATGGTGAGAGACAATGGCGGGGCCGGGGAGCCTGGGGTGGGGGGGGGCCGGGAGCTCTTTCCCCCAGAGCCCACGGGCTTCTCTGTATCCTACGCCCGCGGGAGTGGGGGAAAAAGCCCTAACAATGCTCTTTTCTCTCAGTATTTTAGTTTTTTGGGCACTTCCCAAGGGAAATTGTCCCTACCAAAGTGGCCATAGGCTGCAGTCCTCTGATAGAGGGGCTTCTTCAGATCCAGATCCCTGGAATACACAATTCCCGACTCAGTGAGGCGGCCCCGGGGTCCTGCCTTCGTCCCTTCCCTGCCTGGCCGGGGGTTCCGCAGTGACGCCTCCACCTCCTCCCCACCCCGCGGGGCGGTTGGAGCTTCCCCAGCTGCTCTCTCGAGACACCCGGCACGCTCCTGACACTGGGGAAGCTCCAAGCGCTCGGCTCCGGCGGATACTTACCCCGTCCGCGCCCCGAGCGCGCCTTCTCCATTCAGCCAAGCAGCTCCGCGCCGGGTCCAGGCACCAGGCGGTCCCAGGCTGCTCCGGGAGGGACCCCCGCCCACCCCCAACCCCCTGGCACAGACCCCCACGCCCATTACCTGACGATGACTCCGGGCCGCAGGTCAAAGTTCTTCTTGACGATCTCCAGCAGCTCCCGCTCACTCTTCTGAGAGGTGCCGTAGTGGAAGATGGAGATAGACAATGGGTGCGAGACCCCGATGGCGTACGAGACCTGCGGCGGGGGAGGCGGGGTTGCAGGTGAGGCCAGACGCCCAAGACCCTGGGGAGCGGGGCTCCCCGCACCCACCTGGACCAGCCTCGACCCAGAGCAGCACCCACCTGCACCAGCACCCTGCGACACAGCCCAGCCTTCACCAGGGACTTGGCCACCCAGCGTGCAGCATAGGCGGCCGAGCGATCCACCTTGGTGTAGTCCTTGCCCGAGAAGGCGCCGCCCCCGTGCGCGCCCCAGCCCCCGTAGGTGTCCACGATGATCTTGCGGCCTGTCAGCCCAGCATCACCCTGTTGGGGATAGCAGCTTCACAACCCTGCCCACATTTCACCAGTGTCATCATCGCCGAGCCATCACCATGCTGTGACCACTGTAGTGTTATCACTGCCACCGTAACCACACTGTCTCTACCATCTCTGTGCCATTCTCACCACCATCAAACCACTATAACTACTACCACTGTGCCACCTTCAGTTTCACCATGCCCTCAGCACCACACCATCACTGCTGCCATCATTGCCACTATCATGCCATCCCAACTGTCACCAGCACCACAGTGTCACTGTTGCCACCACCACGCTGCCCCCACAGTGCCCTTGGATGCACCTGGGGCCCGCCAATGACGAAGCGGCCGCTGGGCTGCAGGTGGTAGATGGTGTCATCGTCCAGGTACTTGGGGGGCACCACGGCCTTGATGACCTTCTCCTTGAGCGCATCACGCATCTCATCCAGACACACGTCCTCGTCGTGCTGCACCGAGATCACGATGGTGTGCACCCGGATGGGGATCACTGCCCCGCGGTCTTGCATGTACTGCACTGTCACCTGCCAGGGGACATCAGTCAGAGGCCAGGCAGGAGGTCAAGGGACTCCTGAGGGCTTTGTGGACTCACCGGCACCTCACCTGTGTCTTGGAGTCGGGGCGCAGCCAGGGCAGGGCTCCACTGCGGCGCAGCTCGGCCAGCTTGGCATTGAGCTTGTGCGCCAGGACGATGGTGAGAGGCATGCACTCCTCCGTCTCATCCGTGGCATAACCAAACATGAGCCCCTGTGGCAAAGGGACAAGGAGGTCACACCCATCCCTTGGGCACACCACAGCAACCTCAGGGGCGCGAGTCTCACCTGGTCACCAGCACCAATGTCCTCCTCGCTGCGGTCCAGGTGCACGCCCTGGGCAATGTCCGGGGACTGTTGCTCCAGGGCCACCAGTACATTACATGTCTTGTAGTCAAAACCTGTGGGGGACGAAGGAGGCTCTGGTGAGCCCAGTGCCACCCCTGTGCTGTCACCAAAGTGGTGGCAGCCCAGGACGCACCTTTGGAGGAGTCGTCATAGCCGATGTGCCGGATTGTGTCCCGGACCACCTTCTGGTAGTCCACGTTAGCCCGGGAGGTGATCTCCCCCGCCAGCAGGATCATCCCAGTTTTGGCGACCGTCTCTGCAGGGAGAAGAGTGACATTAGCACGGCATCACCTCCACATCACCCACCTGCTGTCCCCTGGTGCCCTTACTCACCACAGGCCACCTTGGCATCAGGGTCCTGCTTGAGGTGGGCATCAAGGACAGCATCACTGATCTGGTCACAGATTTTATCTGGGAACATGGAGAGCAGGAGGCGTCATGGTGGCGTGGGACAGCCCAACATGGCACAGCCCTTCCTTCCGGAGCACAGGGATCAGAGCCCCATAATCCATGAGCCCCCCAGACTGCACACAGCCCTTGCATTGTCCCCAGTATGGAATTCCAGGCATGTCCCAGTTAAGCTGCAGCTCCAACTAAGGCTGAAACCTGTGGCACCACTGAGGGGATCAGACCTGTATCCCAGCTTCCCAAATCTGCAGCACGCCAGCTTTCAGCAGCTCTGCCTCCAGCCAAACCCCACCAGACACACAGCTTCCTCCGGCTCCCAGGGTGTTTTGTGTGGGTGGGGGGTGTCCGGGGCGTCCCAAGCGCCACCCGTGTCTCTGGGACTGCGGGTGTCCTTGGCAGCGACCTTCTGGGCAGGATCAGGGCGAGGACAAGGCAGCGCCCAGGGGGGGTGTGGGTGGAGGATCACCCGGATGCCTTTTTGGTAGGAAAGAGAGAGGAAATGGACTTCATAGCCTCCTCCCTCAGGCAGCTTGGAGGGAGCCCCAGAACAGCCGCAGTTGTGCCATCGGGATAGGGTGCTTGAGCCAGAAGGGGCAGAGCTGTGGGGTGCTGTGGGGCTTGAGTAGGATCCAGAGCTGACTGAACTCGGGAGGGGCTGAGTGTGCCCTGAGAGGGGGTGGCAGAGTGAGAGGGCGTGCCAGAGTGAGAGGGTTCGGGGGTCCTGGGTGTGCCCAGGCAGCGGGTGCTGGGCGTTGGCAGCCGCCTCCGCAGATTAACGGTCATGTGCTCCAAACCGGCGAGGACAAAGCCCGGGAGAGACCGGCACCGGCTGGTACCGAGCTGGAAGGCTTCAGCCACCGCCCGAAAGAAGCGTAACCCCCTCCACCTGCGGCGTCAGGGCACACCTGGGGAGACCCACGAGACTTCATCACTGGCCGGGGGACATCAGCGGTATCGTCGGGGGGCGTGAAGGGGCGGGGGGGGCGGCTGAAGGCGACACTCCGGCGGTGGGGGAAGTGCGTGGGGGTGACTAGGCCTGTCTTACCCCCAGCGTCCACGCGGGGAAAGAGCCGACGGGGGAGCTCATGTGCAGTACGGGGGCACTGGGAACTGCTTAGTCACGGCTGAGTCACGGCAGTACCGGCCGCCCCCTCCCCCCGCCCGCCCCACCGTCACCCCCGTGTCCCGCCCCACGCGGGCAGCACGTGCGCGCCGGGCCCGCAATGCGGCGAGCGCGCACCCGCCTCACACTGCGCGCGCGCCCGCCAGCGTCACCGGCCCCCCCCCACGCCCCCGGCCCGCCCTCATTCCCTCCATCCTCATCCTCACTTCCTTCATCTTCATTCTCACCATCCTCCTCCTCATGCCCCCCCGCCCGGCCGCGCCTGCGCGATCGCCGCCCCGCCCAGCCCCGCTCGGCCCGCACCTGGGTGTCCCTCGCCCACGGATTCGGAGGTGAAGAGGAAGGTGCCCTCCTCGATGAACACCTCGTGGAAGCCGTTCAGCTGCCCGTTCATGGCGGCGCGATGGGCGGCGACAGGCGGAAGGAGAAAGCAACGGAGCAACAAAACCCAGCCACGGCAGCGATGGACTGAACGCGGCCCCTTCCTCACCGCCTGTATTTATATCCTCCTCGCCCCGCCCCGCTGCTGCGCCCAGCCAATGGTGAGCGTAATACGCGCCAGAGGGGCGGGGGGGCAGAACCACTGCAGTCAGGCAGGGAGAGTACGTTACGTAACGCGGAATTTGGGCTCAAACTCCGGGGCAACCCGTAGCGCCCCGCCGCCAGCCGGGCACTCACAGGAGCTAGAGCGCTGCTCAGACTGTCTCCGCTGCTCCGCATAGTGCAAGGTTGCGGGCAGGCACTAATGCCCCCGGCGTACTTCCCCGTGGTGGCCTCATGGTGCCTCCCACGAGGCTCGGCCGCCCGAGGCGCGCGGCGGCGCACGCATGCGCCCCGCGACGGCATGAAGAGCGCACGCGCAGTACGCGGCCGGCGGGCAGCGGGGACGGCCCCGCCCCCCCGCCGCCATCTTGCGCAGACCGGCGTCGCCATTGTGTGACATCGGGCCCGCCGAGACTGAACCCGGCCCGCCCTGGCCCCTGCCCCGGTCGCAACCGGTCCTAGGGCTCGTCCAGGCGCTAGGACCCGGCGGGGCTGGTCTGAGCTCGGGCGCGGCCCTTATGGTGCTTTAGGCCGTTGGTGCCACTTGACGCCTGATGCAACCAGCGCCTGGTGTTGCCAGTGCAGGAGTCGCCGCAGGTCCGGCTCCCCTCGCCACCGCCTCCGGGCCCGGCTCAGAGCACTCCCCTATCCAGTTGCTACAAATAGAGTTCAGCGGGAGCTTGGGCAGGAGCCGTGTGCCCAGGAGAGAGCGAAACCCAGGACTGACATACCCTGACAGAGAGGCGCTCCAGAGAAATGAAGATCTGGCATACACACAGAGCCAGATCTGACAGACACCAGGACTCCCAGCAGCCATTTGCTGCGGGCTGCCTGACCACTAGCACCCCTAGCCCTGCGACAGATGGACATACGGACACCTCGAGGCACGGTTGACATGGACACCCCTATGTGCAGGACAGACACACACAAACACTCCTGTGTCCAGGCCAGGACAGACGGACAGACCTAGCCCTGTGCTCCGGGCAGGCAGGGCCTTGGAACACGCCCCACCCAATATTTGCATAGCGCATGTTGCTCATGGTGTCTGTGCACAGGGGTTTATTTGATGGGATGCCCCAGTCCCCTCCGCCTGGTACCATGGGCATCCCAACGCCCCCTCCCAACCCCCCCCTCCCCCACCACCACTGGAGACGGTCTGGATTTTTGTAAAAAATGGTTTATGGGTTCCATTTTTGTATAAAACTTGGGGACAGCCGAGCCACTCGCCCACCCCCAGCTGCCACCCCACAGCCTGCGGTGTGTCCTACTCAGAATCTAAACCCATCCCAATGTTTCCTCTACAGTCAATCCTCTATGCTCTTCCTTTTAGCTATTCCTTAGAAAAAAATCCTCGTATCCCCGAGATGTTCCTGTGCCCAGGTACAGTACAATGACAGGGGGATCCGGTGCCACACTCCCTCTATGCCGTTTTCTGCTGTCCCTTCTTTCCAATCAGGGACTTGTGGATGTGGGGAATGACACCTGCAGAAAGGAGGAGAGAAATCCCATCAAATCACTTCCAGAATTCCCAAGGAAGTACAAAAAATCCTCAATTCGCCATTTTTGAATGTCAAGAGAATCCCCCTCAGTGTGAATCCAGAGAAGCAGCAAGCCCATGCATTTTTCCAACTGCCAAATTCCTATCTGTTTTCCCACCTTTCCTCTTCTTGCTAAAATTCCCATTCAAGGCTGGAAACGGGAACAACACCTACCTCCACCAGCGATGGTGGCTTTGATCAGGGAGTCCAACTCCTCATCACCGCGGATTGCCAGCTGCAGGTGCCGGGGTGTGATCCGCTTGACTTTGAGATCCTTGGAAGCATTCCCAGCCAGCTCCAGCACCTGCATGACAGTGGGAAGAGGTGGGAATGCCGAGGGCAGGGATGCTGCGGCTGGGGAGGGGGGTCCTACCTCAGCAGTCAGGTACTCGAGGATGGCTGCGCTGTACACGGCTGCCGTGGCTCCCACACGCCCGTGGCTGGTGGTCCGAGTCTTCAGGTGCCTGTGGATGCGGCCGACTGGGAACTGGGGGGGGGGGGGCAATAAACAACCTCGTTAACAACTACGGACCCTCTATGCTGCCGATTTGGGCTGCGGCTTCCAGGAGCAAGTCTCCAAATGGAGGACTTAATGTTCACTATCCAATTTATTTATTGCTAATGAATATATATATATTAACATATGTTATAATAATACATTATATTATCATATATATTATAATGGTATTTTAATTATTATAGTTATTAATTAGAAAATATAAACTAATTGATTCTCCCGATTAATCCTCCCAACCTCTCTGTCCCACCTGACAGCAAACCCCTTCTGCAAGCCCAGGGTTCCTCATTGCTCCATAAGCCTCCAAATGCCAAAATACTCAATTTTGACCCCAAAGAAGAGGGACTGGGGCCCCCCAGCTGCCCAGCATTCCGTTTCCTGGTGATTCCCTGTGCCATACCTGGAGCCCGGCTCTCTGGGAGCGCGACACGGCCTTGGCCTTGGCCTTGCCACTGTCCTTGCCCGCCTTGCCGCCAGCCTGGGGGAGAAAGGGGCCTGTTGATTAATCTAATTAATCCCTGAATCCAAACAATCTCGTTAATTCTAAGCCAGAGGGACCTGCTGCAGGATAATCTGGCAGCTCCCTAGCAACTCAGGGCCTCTCAAACCACGCGGATTCAAGGGGATAAACAAGGGAAGTTATCAGGGTGCAGCAGCTGCTTCTCACCCAGGTGTCTTATTCCTGCTGCCATTATTCCCATTACTTTCCAGAAAATGCCAAATGGGGGAAAAACAGCCCAAAATCCCATTGCTGGGCATTTTTCTTCCAGCAGTTGTGAGCCCCATTTGTTTCCAGATTCGATTTCTCCACACACTGACGCTGAGCACTAGGCAGGACACTGCTCCTGTATATGGGAATGTGAATCCTGCAGGACTCAGGGGTTAATCTCCTCCTACTCCAGAGTGGGAAATCACCCAGGGGCCCCAGAAACTGTGGATGTAATAAAAATCATGTTGGGAGGGGTGGAAATGCCAAATCCAAGGAGTTTGGGAGTTGCTGAGTAACAAGAGCCGAGCACAGGTTTGCTGGGCTCTCCCATCCGCTGTCAGGAAATCCATGGATTCCATGGATATGGGAAGACCCCATGACGTCATTAATCACTAATGAGAGCTGTTCCTAATGAAGGTGAGAGCCGCAGGTGACGCAGGAAGGCAGAGGGAGCTGCGCCTTCCTCATGGGAAAGACGTCAGCAACCCAGAATCTGCTCCAGGTAAAAAAAAAACCAAAACAGGGATAACAATTCCCAAAACCAAGTTTTCCAGCCCACAGAGAGACAAACAAGAACAGCAGAGGAGATGGGAGCCTGAAAACACCCTGGATACTCACAATCCCTGTTTTATAGAATATACAATCCCCATCTCCTCTAAAAAGAAAGAATTTTGGCTCATGGTGAGGGAGCTGAAAGGATCCAGAAACAACAGGAGAGTAAGCGGAGCACATAATCCTTAAAACAAGATGCTGTTTAACCTGGGAATGTCCAAGACCTGTGTCTCATCCCAGCCAGGTGGGAGTTAATACAAGGCTCAGTTCAAACATTGGAAAAAAAATCAGTTATGAGGGGACATTAATTAATCCCGAGGTGATTAAAACAAGAAGAGGGCACCAGGTGAGACCATAGGGGACCCAGCAAATCTGCTCCCTGTGCCAGCACTCCAGACAGGAAGGGTCTTCAGGGATGACTTGGAGAAACAATGAAGCACTAGGAGTTACTTTAATCAGGAGAAAACACCCCTGCAAAACTCAAGGAGGGCATTTTGGGGGGAAGGAGGGAGGATTCGAGGGGTGGAAAGGGAGATTTATAGGAAAGAAAGGGGGAGGCAAGAGGGATTTGCAGATGTTTCCTTGCTCTAGGAATGAAGGGCAGCTTTGGGAAAAGCACTGGCTGCTCCCACTGAGGGCTTTTATCAGCCAGCTGTGAACTTTCCCACTGCCCTATCAGGTTTTCAGCTTGGAGCTGCCTGCCTGATACATCTTCACGGGGAATTTGACTCAGAAGAACAAGAAAGGTTTCGCCATGGAAATCCTTAATTTGGTCTCAATTTCCAACAACCCTCCACAGGGTCTGCAGAGGGAATAGGGGAAGTTCCCCCAGCCCAGCTGCCACTGGCTCCCTAAGGGAGATCATCCCAGTCTGTGTTGGGGGTGAGGGCTCCTGGACTTCTCCCTCCTGAGGAGGCAATCCCGAGGAATTCTTTCTTCACCCTCCAGGTTAGGGCTCCCAGAGACTCAAGACAATCCTTGTGACATCTCCATCCCTTCTCTCCACCAAACCCTCTCGCTAGGAGTACATTCCCGTGCTAAATCTTCCCAGGGTCTGACCCGCTGGATCCTTCACAGTGGGCAAACTTTTTTTTTTTTCTTATCGCTTCAAACAGAATAAAACCCCTCCAAGCAACAACTTTTTATCTCCTGCCGTACATTCCCAGACATCCCCGAGCATAAGTTCTTGGCGGCAGCAGGAGTTGCATAATCCAACGGTGTTTCCATTAACGCTAAGGGATCGGGGCTCTTACCGCCGGCTCCGGAACCTCCGCGAGTCCCGGACCCCCCACGGAACCCCCTAGAGCCCACTTGTGGATCCACAGAACCACTCGAATTCCCCTACAAATCCAGAGAAACCCCCTATGTAACCACATAACACGCCCGTGGATCCATATTGTCCTCCAGGCCCCCTGCGAATCCACGGAACTACCTCAACGATCCTTAGAACCGCCCAAAGCATCCTGCAGACCCACAGAACCTCTCATAGATCCACGGAACCCCCGTAATCTACATCCCCCTGCCCGCCTTCGCTGACAGCTCTAGACTCGGCTCCCCCCATTTCCCTTACGGGGCCACAGGAACGAGGCACCGGGGAGAATGAACCCCCCCTTTTCTTCCCCCACGGACCGAGCCATTTCCCGGGAAGCGGGCTGAGCTATATCCCGCGTAACCCCAGAGGAGGCGCCGGGGGGTTGACAGACCCCGCTCGGGCCTCTCGACTGACGTTTCCGGCACGACAGCAGCTTCCTCCCGTCCAACCGACCCGCAACCGTCACAAATCGCGACCGAGACGACACCGGCCGACACTACGCCGCTCTGACAGCGCTAGAGGGCACCGGCGGGGCCGAATCTGGAGGGCAGGACAAACCCCCTCCCCAGGACCCAGGCGGCAGTGGCCACGGGGCACCGGGGGAGCGCCGGGCCGGACCCAAGGTCACGGACCGGGGCTCGGCCCCCTCCTCGGCCTGGGCTGACAGCGGCGCCCATTGGCGGCCCCACGGAGCCCGGCTCAGCCCGGCCACGCTGTCCTAGCTGGCCTCCCGAGTCCCGAGTCCCATTGTAGCCCCTGCCCTCACCATGGTACCACTGCCGCCGTCCGAACCCCAAAGCCACCGCCGCGCCCGACCCGCCTCAGGAGCCGCCAGACAATGACCCGCCCGGGCGGGGGCGGCGGGCCGCGCCGCGTCGCCGCCAATCACCTCCTCCCATACTAGTTTGAACATCCCGCGGCGCCCAATGGGCGACCTGCTTATTTCCTCGTCCATCATTGGCTCCGCCCCGCTGCTCGTTTAACGGCTGTGTTGCCTTTGCACACGGCACGCAGCGGGATGAGGGCGGAGCGTGCTCCCGTCGGTGACGTCACCGCCCGGCAAATAGCAATAACGAGCACCACGACGTGAGGCGGTGTTATGATGATGGACAGCAGACTGAGCCAATAGAAAGCGGGTAATATTCCCGCCCATTCTATCGCTCCGCCCCGGGTCGTGTTTGTGTGAGGGAACCGGTGGGAGGGGCAGGGGTTTGGCGGGCCTGCGAGGATCCCAGGTCCCGCCAGCGGGTGCCGCTGGGCCCCGGGCCTGTGAAAGCATTCCGCGGGGTCAGGGGCTTTGCTCTTGAGGTGGCCTAGCCCTGCTTGAGGCTGAGAGAGGCCCCGACGTAAAGGGGAGCCCGCCCGGGGAAACCCAGGCCCGCCGGTTCCTCTGACCCTCCCTGTGTTTCATCGGGGCGGTACAGAAATAAGCCGGCGCTGCCCCGTAGGATGAGTGGGGAGAGCAGCTGTAGTGAGGTAACATGGACCCCGCAGCCCCCGGGGCGAACTGAGGGCTGGGTCGGGCCTTGAGAGGCTGAAAGGACTGTCAGTGGTGACGGCAGCAGTCAAGTGTGGCCAAAAATTTACTGCACTGCTGGGGGGAAAAGGGCCCGTTTTCCGAACAACCTTGTAACAGTAAATAAAAGCTCAATTTCTTACGACGGGGCCCTTTCAGTGTCAAATGGAACCTGACTGTGTGAGGAACTGGGTTTATAAATGGAACTGGGGATTCCCAAGCGAGGGTCGATGACGGGGCAGTGTTTGCGGAGCTGGTGGACCACGCACACCGCAGCCCTACCGGGCTGGGGCCGCAGCCCGGGCCCTTCAGGCCGGCTGCACCCGGCGGGGTCACTGTCCCCACGGATATGGTCTTGTCCGGGCTGCCGGGCCTCAGTTTCCCTCCAGCAGCGGGCGGGGTGGAGGGCACCGCACAGTCCCAGCCCCACGCCCACCCTGCTCCAGGCTGAGATACGGGCTGTGGGAGGGGAGGTCCCTGTTACTGGTCCCCCCCAGCTGTCCCGGCCTCCGTTCCACGGTTTCCCTGCACCGTGCATCCCGGGCCCCTCACTGCAGCTGCCATGGGGCTCAAGGCGGCCCCCACTCCCACCCCCTGCTCCGACTGCACCGTGGCTGAGGCACGGGCTGGGAGGAGCAGGAGGGCGGGGAGGAGAAGGAGGATGACGAAGGCATCTATCACTGTCCTTCCCGAGGTGCCCCCCCCGGTCAGTTTCCCCCCCCAGCACCGGGCAGGGGCTGGAGGGCACCGCGCATCCCCCGCCCGTCGCTGCAGCTGCCGTGGAGGCTCAGGGTGTCCCCAGCCCTTCACCCCGCAGCTGCTCCACGTACTCGGGAGGGCAGTACCGTCCGCACCTGCCCCGGGCAGCAACTGCCGCGAGCTGCGCCTCCCCGGGCTCCATCCAGGGGCCTCCGGGCTGTCTCCGGGGCCCCTCCAGCTGTCCCCAGCTTCCCCGACCGCCGGGTCCAGCCGAGGGGATCCCGGAGCAGCTGCGGGGTGGAATAGGGCCGGAGGAGCCGCTCTCCCCGGCCCCAGGGATATGCGGGCCGGGGGCTCGGGATGGGAAGGAGCCTCGGGGGTCGCACCGGGCCCCAGTGGCGGTGACAGAGATGGCGGTGACGGCGGCTCATGCGCAGGCGGGTCCCCGCGTGTCCTCAGATGAGCCCGAGTCCGCAGGGAGCCGCAGCGCGGGGGGCGGGGGCTGCGGCACCACTGGAGGGGACACAGCACGGGCACAGCGGAGACACGGCACACAGCCCTGGTGGGCACGGCATCGTGCCTGTGCACACGCCCGATACGCACACCTGCACGCGTAGCACAGCCGTGTGATGGCACACACACCTGACACACACCACACAGTGGTGTGCGTGGCACGCAACCCTTTCACACCTCTGCACACACACCTGTGCACGCACCTGCCTGAGCCATGGCACACACACCACACACGGGCCACGCCAAACCCTCCCAGCCTTACACCAGCACACAGCGGGCAACCCATGTGATGGCACGCATGCGTTACGCACACTTTACACACACACCCACAACCGGCAGCCATGTGATGGCACAAATGCCTTATCCTCATTTTACACACACACACCAGGCAGCCGTGGTATGGCACACATATCTCACACTCACTTCACACACCCCCACACACGCATTATACCTGTGCACACACCAGCCTGAGCTGTGACACAACATGCCTAAGCCACGCCAAACCTTTTCCCTCCCCACCGTGCTGGTATCTCACACCCCCAACTCCCGTGAGTTAGGCATTCCCCTCAGGACAAGGTGGGGGACTCCATGTTCCCTGTTTGCGCCCCCGACGCTTTCACTACATGTCCCTGCAATGCCGCACGGTTACCTCCCCACTCCTCACCACAATGGTGGCACCAGCTCCACCCTCCAGGGCCCCCCATGGCATCCCCAAAGAGCAAGTCAGGCTCGGGCTGGTTTTCATTCACTTTTCCGCATACTTTATTTGTTACAAACATACAATTCTTTAAATATAGACTGTAAAACTCCATTTGCAAAAATCTGCTACGTCAGGAGTGCTCGGAGCAGGAGGAGTTCGTCGCGTCGGCCTCGTCTGCGCTAGTGGTAACACCCAGGACCTGCCTCCGGCCCCTGGAGCCGCCCCGCCGGCCGCAGGGAAGGGACATGGGGGCCCCGGCCCCCCCGGCCGCCTAAAGTGCAGGTTTGCTTTAGTTTTTTTCTTTCATTAAAAAAATAACAGGAATAAAACTTTTTTTTTCTCTTTTCGGCAAAGGGACATCATGGTGAGCGCTCGGGGAGGGAGGTGGCGCTCCTGGGATCTGCTGCTCTGAGGAGGACCCGGTGCTCGGAGGAGGATCCAACATTCATAGGATCCAGTTCTAAGAGGATCCAACTCTCCGAGGAGGATCTACTGCTTGCAGGAGAACCCAGCTCGAAGAGGCGGGTCTAGTGTTTGGAGGATCCAACTCTCAGAGGATCCAGCCCTCAGAGGATCCAGCTTGGAGAAGGACCTGGCTCCTGGAGGAGGATCTAGCACTCAGAGAAGGATCTGGTGCTCAGAGGATCCAGCTCTTGGAGGATCCAGTTCTTGAAGGATCCAACTCTTGAAGGAGGATGCAACTCTTGGAGGATTGGGCACTCAGAGGATCCAGCTTTTGGAGGATACAATTCTTGGAGGACCCAGCTGTCAGAGAATCCAACTCTGGGAGTGCCTGGTCTTGGAGGAGGATCCAGTGCTCTCCCCACTGATGCTGTCCCAGCCTCTTGGCTGGGCTGACCCATGTGCTGGGGCCCAGTGAGCCACCCGTGCTGGACCCGCTCCCAGCCACTGCTCTGAGGCCAGAACCTCCCGTGGACTCTGGGCTGTGCCGTGCTCCTCCCCGGCCATCCCACCCAGACCTGGGTTCTCCTGCCAACACCCAACTGCAGCTCTGCATGGCTTGGCCCCAGTGCCGCTGGCTCTACCGGCTCCACGAGGATGAGGGCGATGGCACCCGTGGCCAGGCCTCGCCCTGCAGGAACATCTGGGAACATCCATGGAACCAGCTGAGACTTCCCACTGGGAATACCTGCTGAGCTCCATGGTGCACAACCCTGCATACCCCCAGTGCTCTCTCAGCTGCTTTTTTTAAAACTTTTCCAGGGTTTTTTGCGAATTTTTTCCACTTTTTGCTTTTTTACGAGAGGCCAGTGAGGGATTGGGTTGGTTTTGTCACCAATGTGAGGAGTCGCCACTGGAGCGATCCCCCCAAACCATCCCCCACTGCCCCCAAATCGCCTGGAAACAAGGCAAGAGAATCTGAATTTTCTTCCATATTTTTTAGGGCAAAAAGAACTGAAGCTGTTTGAACTTGCCCTGGAAGCACCACACGCTCCAGACCCAGCCATCTGGGGTATTTTTCCAGTGGCTTTTTGGGGCATTGTGTAAGACTTCCAATATTCTGTCTGTACAGCCATCATCGCATTTTCCATCAGTCCTTCTGGGGCAGCAAAGCTGGAAGTACCAGGAATTTGGGATATTTTTCCCCCTATTTGTGGTTTAAAAATTAAAAAAAACCCCAATTTGCCCATTTTCTACAGAATTCAACCCAAAACCCAACTGAATCTGAGCTATGTACACACAGCCATGTCTATACACACAGGGATGGGAAGGGGGTTCAGGGGAGATATTGGCATTGTCCCACTTTCCTGGGAAACACCCAACGGCTCCTAGGGGGCTCCAAGAGAAAAAAACCCCAAAACTGCCCCCCAAGACCCCCTTCCCCATGGCAGCCCCCCTCGCTCCAGCTGGCACCTCAAGCCCTCAACCCCCTTTTTTCCCCTATTTTATCTCATTTTGGCTTTTTTTTCCGCTGTCTTCCCCCGACGTGCTCTGCTCTTCCCACCCGAATGGAGCTGTGGGAGGTTATGTCCATGGATCCAGCACTTCTCTGGCCACGAAAGGCTCCCTGAGGCAATGCTGGGAGCTGCTTTTTGGGTTTATTACTGGATTTTGGTGGTTTTGCCTTTTTTTTTTTTTTTTTTTCCTCTTCCCTTCCATGTATTTCTAGCCAGCTCCCCAGAGCTGGGCCGGGCTGGCAGCGATTCCGCCGCTCTCCCGAAGTAGAGATAAGGCCAAATCACCGCAATTCAGCCAAAAGAAAGAAACCCAAAGGAATATATATATATTTTTATATATATATATATATATATATATATATATATCATCCTCTTCAAAAATAAAAGGAGAGGTCCCGCGGCTGGACGCCGGTGAGTCCCGCGGAACTGGGAGCCTTTTTCCCCCCAAATCCATCATCGCCGTCGTGGTTTATGGTTTTTCTCCGTGGCAAAGAACACAGGACCAGGAGGATGGGTGGATACAGCAGGAATTCACCGGAAAGAGCTGCCTGAGGGTACAAAATACAGTACGGACACATCGGCCATCGAGGAAGGACTATTGCTCCCGT